ATATCCAAGTTTATGAAACGTTTCAATCATCAGTCTTATAAATCAATTAAAATTTTAAAGGTGTTTCACTTATTTGCTTTCTTATGCTACTTCTAAACCCTTGTTATAACTATATAAAATAAAAAATTCCCTTCTCACCACCGCGGTGGTTCTTATCCTCAGCTCGGGTCCTCTACCAGAGGATATATAGATATAGATCTATAGATATAGATATATGTCTATATCTATAGATCTATATATCCTCTGAGCTCGGGTCCTCTACCAGAGGATATATAGATATAGATCTATATCTATAAATATAGATCTATATATATAGATATAGATCTATATCTATAGATCTATATATCCTCTGAGCTCGGGTCCTCTACCAGAGGATATATAGATATAGATCTATATCTATAAATATAGATCTATATATATAGATATAGATCTATATCTATAGATCTATATATCCTCTGAGCTCGGGTCCTCTACCAGAGGATATATAGATAGATCTATATCTATAAATATAGATCTATATATATAGATATAGATCTATATATATAGATCTATATATCCTCGGGTCCTCTACCAGAGGATATATAGATATAGATCTATATCTATAAATATAGATCTATATATATAGATATATGTCTATATCTATAGATCTATATATCCTCTGAGCTCGGGTCCTCTACCAGAGGATATATAGATATAGATCTATATCTATAAATATAGATCTATATATATAGATATAGATCTATATATATAGATCTATATATCCTCGGGTCCTCTACCAGAGGATATATAGATATAGATCTATATCTATAAATATAGATCTATATATATAGATATATGTCTATATCTATAGATCTATATATCCTCTGAGCTCGGGTCCTCTACCAGAGGATATATAGATATAGATCTATATCTATAAATATAGATCTATATATAGATATAGATCTATATCTATAGATCTATATATCCTCTGAGCTCGGGTCCTCTACCAGAGGATATATAGATATAGATCTATATCTATAAATATAGATCTATATATATAGATATAGATCTATATCTATAGATCTATATATCCTCTGAGCTCGGGTCCTCTACCAGAGGATATATAGATATAGATCTATATCTATAAATATAGATCTATATATATAGATATAGATCTATATATAGATCTATATATCCTCGGGTCCTCTACCAGAGGATATATAGATATAGATCTATATCTATAAATATAGATCTATATATATAGATATATGTCTATATCTATAGATCTATATATCCTCTGAGCTCGGGTCCTCTACCAGAGGATATATAGATATAGATCTATATCTATAAATATAGATCTATATATATAGATATAGATCTATATATATAGATCTATATATCCTCGGGTCCTCTACCAGAGGATATATAGATATAGATCTATATCTATAAATATAGATCTATATATATAGATATATGTCTATATCTATAGATCTATATATCCTCTGAGCTCGGGTCCTCTACCAGAGGCCTGGGAGCTTGAGGGTCCTGCAGTATCTTGTGCCAAGGACTGCACATTTCTGGACTGAGATGTCTGATGTTGTTCCTGGGATCTGTTGTAGCCATTGATCCAGTTTGGAGGTTACTGCCCCGAGGGCCCCGATGACCACAGGCACCACTGTGGTCTTCACCTTCCAGGCCCTCTCCAGTTCTTCCCTGAGGCCCTGGTATTTCTCCAGTTTCTCCTTTTTCCTGATGTTGCAATCACTTGGTATTGCTACATCTACCACAACGGCTTTCCTCTGATGTTTATCCAAATCGTGTATATATATTTGTACCTAACCGTCTTTTCCATGGTGGGTATTGGGTCTCATGGTTGCTGTTATAGCCAAGCGTCTCAAGGATCACTGATGCTGAGTTGTATGGTGTTGGTAGGGATCGTTCTCAATGCTGCATTCACATTGATGGTACTTCACTCAGAGTTTCTCTCTCTCAGGTCAGCAGCTGTCTCGTTCAGCTCTGTTTCGCTCATTGGGGCCGTGTATCCCCTCACTGGGTGGGGACTTGTAGTTAAGTCCCCACAGTCCTGACATCCGGGTTCCTCCCTTTTGCCGTAGCATTTGTGTTGTATCTCGTCAATCTCAAGTTGTGATAGCAGTTGCCGTTTGCGGATGTTGGAACACTGAGCTACTAGTTGTCGCCACACAGTGCTGCAGCTTCCATGGAAACCACGGGACCGACTGGGAGGGAGACCAAACAGCAGGAAGAAGGTGGTGATGCTCCTCCAACCCTTATCTGGTCAAACAACAGTTTAATTATTAAAGTTAAAGTTCTACATTAAAGCTCTGGAGGTGAGACTGAAGCGGGAAACCATCAGATCATTGTTGCTGTTTGTTGGTTTCATCTGGGTGTCTGTTATCACTCTGTGGAACACTGCCACCTGGTGGCTCAACTGCGTCACTACATCATCCATCCATCCATCCCATCGGGGTCACCAGAGGTCACCAGGCAGGGTCATCTGAACAGATCGCCGGTCCATGGCAGGGCAACACAGAGACAGACAGGACAACAAACACACACACACACACACACACACACACACACCCACACACAAACGTATTGATTGGCCTCACTGATAACCAGAAAAAACACACATATTTCTGATTAATTTTATTATATATTTTATTCTTAGCCAAATGACACATTCATAAATGCTGTTATGCTAATTATTTTTGAAAATGAAGTCAAACATATCAGAACCATTGAAAACAGCACCAGTAGCAAAGCTAACATGCTCTGTATTTCATTTTTAACTTTATTTATTCCAATGAACAACAATACAATTGTATTGTGAAGATAAAACAATAAGACAATAATAATACTTGACCAGGGGGAGCGTTAAGATAAAGCATAAAGATAAGAGGATTGAATTGTTAATAAATAATGTTAGTTCAATCAAAAAAACAGAAAAGTTGGGTTTTTTCTTCAAATATGTGCATTTATGGGTGAAATTTAGCCTTAATAATTATTAAATTGATAAGGAAACTTTTCACATTCATTCCTCCATTTTGTTGAAATATGAATAAGACATTTATAACTGAAATCCTGCTGATATTTTGGAATCAATAAAGTTTCAAAAATGCTTCCAAAATACTTTAGAACGAGGACAAAACCAGAACAAATGATTCTGGGCAAACGTCACATTAATTCACATCAATGTTAGAGTTGAATTTCTTTAGATAAACTTTAACGGGGAAGATTCTGGGAACGACTTTAAAAGAAACGTCTTTTACCTTGTTAGTGAGAAGAAAATGATTATTGAGCAGCCAGATTAATTTCCAGGACAAAGTGAAACGAAAGAGATTTCAATGATGTTCAACCACAGGATCAGAGGTCACGACCTCCAGGAACAGAGGTCACAACCTCCAGGAACAGAGGTCACGACCTCTAGGAACAGAGGTCACAACCTCCAGGATCAGAGGTCACGACCTCCAGGAACAGAGGTCACGACCTCCAGGAACAGAGGTCACGACCTCCAGGAACAGAGGTCACGACCTCTAGGAACAGGGATCTGATCCACTTATTATTGTTAGGAGGAAACAATAAGACATATTCTGCCAACAGAACGTTTGGCAGATCGAACTGGAGAATCGACTCTCGGCTTCTGCCTGAATCACGTCTCTGTAGATCCAAGAACTTTGGCGCGTTCTCCAGGAGAGACAGGAAAACTGAATTTACACAGAAATTCCTCATAAGTCAACAACAGACCATCACTGTGAAACAACTGGTCAACCAGAACAATGTTACGATTAAACCAGGAATCAAAAACAGTTTTCTTCTCAAATAAAATGTCCTTATTATCAAAATACTGGAGAGGAGAAAAGCTGTGCTTGTAGATGAATAACCAGGATGAAAGGGCCTGCAGATGAAAGTTAGAGAGTTTAATTGGTAGCTTCGTTATATCAAAATTACAAGTTAAAAAGAAATTTAGACCACCGAATTTAGAGAAAATATGGAAAGGTATAATATTCCAGAATGACGCTGGAAAATTAAAAATTACGGATCCAATTTATTTTAAAAATATTATTCAAGATGGAGAAAGATAAACAGTTAAGTCCTCCATTTTAATATGAATTCAATAGAGTAGATTTCTTAATATAGTGAGTCTTATTTTTCCATATAAAGTTGAAAAGCAGTTTGTTAATTTCCTTCTCACTTTTCTTGTCAATGTGTAACGATTGTTCAGCATTAATGAGTCTGGAGGCCTGCAGCCTTTCTAACGAACCACTGACTGAGTCTTTTTCTAGTCTTTAGAATTAGGGTTGAAGTTTAGAGAGCTTCTTTCTATTTGATCCTTCCTGATGCTTTTACCTAAATAAACAACCTCATTCTTAACTGCCATAGCTTCAATTGAGGCGATGGATCAGTCCTTAATGCCCATTATCTCACATTTTTTAAGGTTAAGAGAAAAAGCCGAAGCTTTGGAGAAAGTATCAATCTCCTGAAAGAGATTTGGCTCTGATCTTTTCAAAGTAGCATCATCTGCCAGTTGTGTTAGAGTAACCACTTTATTAGCAACAGTGATGCCTTTTAAAGGGCCAGTTTTAATATGATCGGCCAGAAGTTGAGCAGTAAAAGGAACAAATATGGAGACGGGCGGCCCTGTCTGATTCCTCTGCAGAGGCTGAATCTAGCAGAGGAGCCGTTTTTGAATTTGATGGAGCTGTTGCTGTTTTGGTAAAAGGTTTTAACGACAGAAGTAAAGAATTTCCCAAACCCAAATTTATTTAGACTCTGAAAGATAAACCGAATCAAATCACATGCTCTGTATGTTGTCTCTGTAATGCGTTCATATGACGTCATGGTGACGTACCGTTTCAGTGCGGCCCCTGGCAGACATTACTGTGTTTGTATTGTTATGTATTCTGTATCTCAATAAAGATCTGTTTTAAAAAAAACCTCTTCGAACTGGAAAGAAAAGTCTGGTCCTGATCGGTGAGTGCTGCCACCTGCAGGTCAAGAATCACACAGCGCCTGGGGTTTTCCGCTGTGTTTGGTGTCTGTGCGGTTTTGCCCCGCAGGTCCCGCAGCCAACATGGCCTCCATCAGAGAGCGAGCTGCGGCCCTGCAGCTGCGGGCCTTTTCTCCTCCAGGTAGTTCAGGTGAGTCCAGGTGAGTCCAGGTAGTTCAGGTGAGTTCAGGAAAGTCGCTTTTAGCCTCTCAGGAGGCCCAAGCCGCGTTTGCTGCCCCAGTAAACGAGAAGATGATTTCATTTAGAGAATGTTTTAAAGTGCTTGATTTGGTTCTCTGCTGAGTTTTTCCATTTCTAGTAATGAGTCGTTTTTCTGATTCTGCAGTAATCAGCTGTTACAGGTGCAGCTCGTTTACCTGCAAAGGCCACAAAAAGTTAATTTATTGAAAAACGTCATTAAAAGTAATATTTTAAAGTGATTCTTAGAAACTTTTGATTTTAATAAAGTAATGAAAAAGTGTAAACACAGAAACATTCAACCATGGGGAAGACGAACTGTTGCTGCTTTCTAGATGTCTCAGGGGAAAGGTCAGTGGAGGGAAAACAACCTGGAACTAGAACATTTTAAATCAACATTACAAACTTACTTCATGTTGATTGAAGTAAATCCATAATCTTCCAGGATTTTTGCACTAACAATCCTGGAGGATTGATGTTTTGCAGTGCGTTAGTGTGGCTGAAGGTGGGTCATCATGGCTGCCTGTTGTGTTTCTGTGTCTCAGCTGCTGGAGTGAAAGCAGTGCAGTCGTCTTCCATCTGGAGCGACCTCATCACCCACCTGAGGTCCAAGCTGACGGTGAAGCGCCGACTGGTCCAGTTCAAGGCCCACAGCGACTGCTTCGTGGGCTCTGAGGCCGTGGACGTCCTGCTGCGGCACGCCGCCAACGCTAACGGCCTGCCGGGTGAGTCCGCTCCACGTCCGGCTGGCCTGCAGCGACTATCAGAAAACACAGGGCTGTTTCACTTTTTACCCTGCAAACACAGAGTCAAATATTTCAGTTCACCTGGAAATAAACAGTTACAAATAACTTTCTAGCTTTTTATGTCAAATATTGATTGAAGAATGAAAGATCGATTATTTCACTTGCATGAAAACATTTTCATGAAGTGAAATAAGATTTTAGCTCGAGAAACTATTTTTTTGCAGTGCACTCGTGGCTTTGGCTGTGCCAAGTTGTCTTATTATTTTGAAGCCAGTAACGTTTTGTCTTGATAACCTACTGATGGGTTTCAGACATGAATCTGTTTGGTCCAACCTGCAGTGGCGCTGTCTCCAGAGAGCAGGTGGTGTGTGTGTGCCAGGCTTTGCTGCAGAGCGGTGTGTTTGAGGCCGTGGGAACCAGAAACAGGAGGCAGGATGCGTTTGAGGACAGTGGGAGCGCTCTGTACCGGTCAGATGTTCTCAGAAATGAGACAGACTGGACTTAAACTGGTTCTGGTTCTGAATGGTTCTGGTTTAAACCGGTTCGGGTTCTGACCGTGTCTCTGTCTGGATCAGGTTCGCCGAGCGACGCCGTCCTGCCGTGGAGGAGCTGCAGCGACACGCTGCTCTGGTCCAGCAGCTCTTCCTCGGCGCTCCTCCTCCTCCTCCTCCTCGGTAATCTCAGCATTTCTTAAAACCTCAAAAATCAGATTTCTGTAACGGATCTAAAAACAAAATTATTAATGTGAGAAAATATTTATGAAGAGTTTTTATTTCAGTCATTCTTACTGTGAGTCAGACAGCAGCCAGCTTTTTAATTACCAAAATAAAGTTATGATATTAGCAGAAAAAAAGCTCAATTTCATCAGAAAACACGTCTTAAATTAAGAGACAAAGTATTTTATTGTGAAAAAAGTTTGAATGGCTTTAATGGCATTTTGAGGATCTGAACAGCTCAGATCAAATCACAACTCATTTCAAAGTTGTGCTGATAATTTCATTGTAAAGTCTTAAATATTAAAAATATAAAATGTAAATCAAAGCATAACTTCACAAGATGGCCGTCGTGGATGATGTCATCACTCTTAACTATGGAAACCCAGAGAGGAAAAAAATCCAAAACAAAACTTTGAATGATAAAACTGAAGTATTCAAGTTAAAGTCGCATTTCTTTAGATTTGAATAAAATTTTCAACAAAAAATAAAGAAAATGTTTGGTCATAACCACATAAAGCATCAGTTACCATAGCAACAGGCTCCTTTTAACCTCCAGGCCCGAGGAGCCGGCCGGGTCCCCTGGGGGGCCGGAGGGGCCGGTGGGCGGTCCCAGCAGGGGGCGCCAGACGGACACAGCTCTGCCTCAGTCCTGTAAGATGACAGTGTGCTTGGCATGGCAGCAGAGGCAGGGAGGTGGTTGACCGTCTGTTTCTGCCTCCAGTGGTCGACCAGGTGTGGCAAGAGCAGACGCTGCTCAGGCTGCTCAACCTGGTGGAGCTCCCCCTGCTGGAAGGAGTCCTGCAGTGCAGCCAGAGCCCGACCTCTGACCCCTCAGCCGACCTGCTGCTGATCAGCGACAGCCTGGACAGACGGATCCTCCAGGCCTTCAGGGACTCCCAGTAAGTCAGATCAGTAAAGCCAGTAGGACTGATGGTGAAACTAGGAAAACCAGTGTGACGAATGGGACTCCCAGTGGGACGTACTGGGAGCACTGGAGTTTCAGGTGTTTCTGGTTTCAGGGAAGACGACTGGCTATCCAGCGGTTTGGACTGTTTGGACTTCCTGCCTGACCAGCAGGTGGCGGAGCTGAGCAGAGAGCTGCCGCGCTGCTTCCCCCAGACAGCAGTGACCCAGAACCACCACACGGGGGCGCCATTCAAGGCAGAGGCGAGTTCTCCTCCAATCAGGTTCAACAGAGGGGTTTTTTGCAGCAGCCATGTTTAGCCGCTTCAACCCGACTCCAGTCCGCCTGGCTAGAGAGTCCGGTTCCGTTGGGGATCGCCAATCCGACTGCAGTCCGTCTGCAACAAAGCAGACTGGCAGCCATTTTCACCTGGGGGCGGGGCCGGCGGGGCGTGGTCAGTGGGGCGGGGCCGGCGGGGCGTGGTCAGCGGGGCGTGGCGTGGTCAGTGGGGCGGGGCGTGGTCGGCGGGGCGGGGCGTGGTCAGCGGGGCGTGGTCGGCAGGGCCGATGGCCCTGAAGCAGCTGAACAGGCAGAACTGACCAGACTGAAATCTGGTTCCTGTGAATCTGATTTTTATATATTATAAAATATATAAAATATATTTTTATATATTTTATATTTTATAAATATTTTATGAACATGTTTGGATTAGGCCGTAGACTGGGCCTAAACTGATCAGTGAAGGTCACCTTAAAATGAAAAATCTGCAGAATGTAGAATTATCTAATCATGGGAATCATCTGTAACTAAGTGAATCCTTCAGCCATATTGCTCCAGCAACTGTGTGTCTGTCCGCTGCAGGGCCCAGCAGTGAGGACGATGTACCGGCTCGGCCCCCGGCCCCGGGGCCGCTGCTGCTGTTCGGCTTTCTGGTCAGGCACTACGGCAGCCGGCCGCCTCTGCTGCCTCCCAACATGGCGGCCGTGTACGCGGCCGTGGCCGAGCTGCTGGGTAGGAAGCTGCTGCAGCGCAGCCCAGAGGCGCTGCAGCAGCTGAACCTGCTTGATGTGTTTGGCAGAGAATGGCCAGCTGGAAAAGGCGCTGGAGGCTCTGCAGCTGTGTCTGAAGCTGCTGCCCCTGGCTGCCGGGAGGAGCTACGCAGGCTGCTGACCTTCATGGCTGCTGCGGCTGAACCACGAGCGCCGAAGCTGGACAAGGAGGTGGTGACCGTCACATCCCTTTAGAGAGCTGTGGGGAGACTTTGACTGGACCACTGGGCGGGTCTGCAGGTGGAGAACAGAGCGGCGGTGATGAAGGCGTTCTCCAAGGCTGTTCTTCACAGCAGGAGCTTTCCGAAGGAGAAGCAGGACCTGATGCTCAACTTCCTGCTCAGCAACAGACAAGAAGTCTTTAAGGTGACCTCACATCCTGTCAAAACCGCCTGTTACAGTCATCAGTGCTGTGACCAAGCACATTCATAAAAGGTTTAGTGGAAGGAAACAGTGTGTAGAAAAAGGTGCAGCAGATTGTCAAGCAACATCCATCCAGGAATAAAATTTTAAGTTATTAAAATGATGAAGATTCATTCCCTAAATTATTAGTAAAATAATCTGCGAGGGGTTCTTATCAATATTCAAGAGTAATTGGTTTTAAAAAGTTCTCATATGTTGCTGAAGAGTTATGTTTCAGTTAGTTTGATCTTTTTTAAAATAGTAATAATGGAATAGATGTTTGCAGGAGGAACTATTGGTTAGATTCAGTGTTTTTGCAGTGTAGTTATGATCTAACCTGAATGTATTTGCTAAGTTGTTTATTGCATCACCCTGAATAATTTCAGAGTCAGTCTGAAACAGGAAGTGAGTGTTTTCTGCTTCCTGTTTCAGATTCCAGGATCTCTGCACAAAACCATCAGTGAGAAGCTGGCGGGGCTCGCTCAGACCGATGCTGCAGGTAACATGCAGAACCCGACAGAACAGCAGAGCAGCTTTAGAGCCACTGGAAAGATAATCTGACTTTAATCTCAGCAGCACGGTGATCGTGTGGCTCTCTTCCTGCAGCATCTCCTCCCAGTGCGGCTCCTGCTGCCGCAGCCAAGCAGGCCACCCAGCAGGCCACCCAGCAGGCCCTGTTGGAGCTGCTGCGCAGCATCAACCTGGACCGCAGCATGGCGCCGAAGTACAGGAAGCGTCTGCTCAGGCAGTTCTGCTCCGCCCATCCACAGATCTTCCACCAGTACTTCGGCGACTCCGCCACCGCTCAGATCTAGGCAAACGTTTGATTTTCTGCTTTTGAACCATTTCTCCTTGTGTTCTGGATCCTGTCAGTGATTTTTATGCAGTTTCTGCTTCTTGTATTTCCTCTGCATGTTTGTTTGTTGACTTGCTTGATTTTAAGATAATTAAATAAACCTTACAGTTCCACAAAGAATATTCCACAGTAGCATCTCCTGGATTTAGCCATCATGTTTTTGCTAGCTCTGCTAATCCAGCACCTTTGCTCTTGCTGCTCCCTCTCCTATCTGTGCTCTGTGTCATGAGGCTCTATTTTTCCAGGATTCTTTTCCCAGTAAAATTCAAGGACTTTAAAGGTACGTTTTGAAACTTTTCCAGCAGTTTGGAGATAAAAGCAATACATATTAAAGCTGCGAGCGGCCACCTCAGCCTCGCCTCGCCGCCCTGCCTCGCGGTCCCGACCTCGCCGCCTCGCCTCGCCGCCTCTCTGAATGAAGCGTTGGACCAGAGGAACATCCAAAACATGCAGGGCAAAGCACCTCCAGGACCAGGGCTGGGAAACACTGCCTTACGACTCCACAAAGGAGACAAAAGTAACAAGTTTTTCTCCAGATTCAGGAGTTTGTTTGGATAAAGTTGACTTTGTGACGTTCGGCTTCCGCTGGCAGATTGTTGATGACATTTTTCGTCCTGACTGTGGAGCCACGTTATCATCCGATTGAAATGAATTAAACAAGCTCCTTTATCATTATTGTAGAAAGTCACAGGAAGAGGCCCAAAGCATGCCTGATCCTCCTCTATACCTGCTCATTAAGCTCCGTGTTTGTGCTGAAGTGTTTCATGTAACGCTCTTTGCTCCAGGTATTTATGTTCCTGAGACACAGGAAGTTGTTGTTTCCACTTCCTGTTGAGCAGCTTTTCTTTCATCATTGACCTTCCCGCGGTGACAGCTGATACACCTGGTCCTGTATCCATGGCAACAGTAAACAGGTGTATCGGCGTTCCTCACAGCGGCTCTGATGGAAAATTCACAGCAAACATCTGAACCTCCCAACTTTGTTCATCAGGATGAAATCTGGTGAATATTAATATCATTTTATTCTGAAAAGCTTCATTTTATCTCGTCTGCAAAAAGAAGAAAAAAGAGAGGGTGGTTTAACTTCAGTCCAAAAACACTTCACTTTTGAAGTTGAGTTAATGAATTTTAATTTACTCGTGTATTTTTCGCAGGAAAGCTCATATAAAAATTGAGAAGGATTCTGGAGAATCATGGAGGAAAACTGGGGCTTCCTGTCTGAAGCCTATAAGGAGGTAAACATCTGTTTAATTAATTAACTTTATTAATTAACATGAAAACTGGATTGTTTAGGTTCAGGATTAACGTCCCAGATTATAAATCCAGATGGTTTTCATGTTGAAATACTTTCATAACCAAATAGCATTCTGTCATTCTGATCACAGAGCAGTCTGTGTTGCAGCGGTGCTGCAGAAGCCTCTGTTGGTGGAAAGCAGAGGATGCTCCAGGTGTCTGAGCAGCTAAACGATGGTCCAGTGACAACTGGTTCTGGTTCCAGTCTGGTTCTAGTCTGGTTCTGGTTCTAGTTTGGTTCTAGTCTGGTTCTGGTTCTAGTCTGATTCTAGTCTGGTTCTGGTTCTAGTTTGATTGTGGTCTGGTTCTGGTACCAGTCTGGTTCTAGTCTGGTTCTGGTTCCAGTCTGGTTCTAGTACCAGTCTGGTTCTAGTCTGGTTCTGGTTCTAGTTCTAGTTTGGTTCTGGTTCTGGTTCCAGACTGGTTCTAGTCTGGTTCTAGTTCTAGTCTGGTTCTGGTTCTAGTTCTGGTTCTAGTTCTGGTTCTAGTCTGGTTCTAGTTCTAGTCTGGTTCTGGTTCTAGTTCTGGTTCTAGTTCTGGTTCTAGTCTGGTTCTGGTTCTAGTTCTGGTTCTAGTTTGGTTCTAGTCTGGTTCTGGTTCTAGTTTGGTTCTGGTTTGGCTCTAGTCTGGTTCTGGTTCTAGTTTGGTTCTAGTCTGGTTCTAGTTCTAGTTTGGTTCTGGTTCTAGTTCCAGACTGGTTCTAGTCTGGTTCTAGTTCTAGTCTGGTTCTGGTTCTAGTTTGGTTCTAGTCTGGTTCTGGTTCTAGTTTGGTTCTAGTCTGGTTCTGGTTCTAGTCTGGTTCTGGTCCAGTCTGGTTCTAGTCTGGTTCTGGTTCTAGTCTGGTTCTGGTTTGGCTCTAGTCTGGTTCTGGTTCTAGTTTGGTTCTAGTCTGGTTCTAGTTCTAGTTTGGTTCTGGTTCTAGTTCCAGACTGGTTCTAGTCTGGTTCTGGTCCAGTCTGGTTCTAGTCTGGTTCTGGTTCTAGTCTGGTTCTGGTCCAGTCTGGTTCTGGTTCTAGTCTGGTTCTGGTTGTAGTCTGGTTCTGGTTCCAGTCTGGTTCTAGTCTGGTTCTGGTCCAGTCTGGTTCTGGTTCTAGTCTGGTTCTGGTTCTAGTCTGGTTCTGGTTCTAGTCTGGTTCTGGTTCCGGTTCTGGTTCTAGTCTGGTTCTGGTTCTAGTCTGGTTCTGGTTCTAGTCTGGTTCTGGTTCCAGTCTGGTTCTAGTCTGGTTCTGGTTCTAGTCTGGTTCTGGTTCTAGTCTGGTTCTGGTTCTGTTTCTAGTATGGTTCTGGTTCTAGTCTGGTTCTAGTTCTAGTCTGGTTCTGGTCCAGTCTGGTTCTAGTCTGGTTCTGGTTCTAGTTTGGTTCTAGTCTGGTTCTAGTTCTAGTTTGGTTCTGGTTCTAGTTCCAGACTGGTTCTAGTCTGGTTCTGGTTCTAGTCTGGTTCTGGTCCAGTCTGGTTCTAGTCTGGTTCTGGTTCTAGTCTGGTTCTGGTTTGGCTCTAGTCTGGTTCTGGTTCTAGTTTGGTTCTAGTCTGGTTCTAGTTCTAGTTTGGTTCTGGTTCTAGTTCCAGACTGGTTCTAGTCTGGTTCTGGTTCTAGTCTGGTTCTGGTCCAGTCTGGTTCTAGTCTGGTTCTGGTTCTAGTCTGGTTCTGGTCCAGTCTGGTTCTGGTTCTAGTCTGGTTCTGGTTGTAGTCTGGTTCTGGTTCCAGTCTGGTTCTAGTCTGGTTCTGGTCCAGTCTGGTTCTGGTTCTAGTCTGGTTCTGGTTCTAGTCTGGTTCTGGTTCTGGTTCTAGTTTGGTTCTCGTCTGGATTTCTTTCTTTATGTTCAGATCAAAATGGCCGCCGGTGTTTCTGCCATGTTCTGCTCTGTTTCAGTACGAGATGAAGAGTGCGCAGCTGAAGATGGGCCTCCAGCCTGACCTAAGGGTTCGACCTTTGACCCCTCCACAGAAACAGATCCAGGTAAGGCTCCCCCAGCATCTCTGCTCCTGCTCTGCTGTTACCTGTGCTCACCTGTCCTTTCCTGGTCCAGGTCGGCTCGTCCTCCGTCGTCCCTCTGACCTCTCAGCGTTTCATCGGATGGCGTTCTGGATCGTCCTGCCTCCAGCTGGAAAAGTACAACGCAGTGCATCATGGGAGGCGTAGTTTCCTGAAGGATTTGGGTTGGTCTCCAGATGCTTGCAGCTGAGTTCGATACAGTAAATAAAATAATTTGGGTTGGCAGGCAATTAAAAACATATTTTCAAACAATAATTCAGTCTGACGGCATTTTGTTGATTTATTTAGACCCTTTTCATAATTAATGGCTGAAATAATAATCATGTATTATTGTTATCAATCCATTTATTGTGAGGATGAAAGCTTGACTGGAATGGATAGCCTACAGTCTTTCAAAAAATGTTTATCACTGATGAGATTTAGTGTGCTTATCACTAATGACTTATTTTATCCAAATGTATTTAGTTAGGCTATATATTCAATTTGAAAATTAAACGTTTTGAGGAAATATTTAGTTAACAGAAATATTTAGCTCCAAATGAGTGTTTATTTTGCAAGCTAAATGTCTGTTTTGTAAACTCAATATTTAGCTTGTGAAGTAAATATGTAATTTGAAACTGAGCTGTAAATGTATGAATAGACATAAAACGCCTTTTTCTTATCTGATAGGTGAATTAAACCAAAAATGTTGCTCTTGATGTTGCTGTGTAACTTTGCATCCCTTTGCAATCAGCGCCTTGGCTCAAACCTTTCTTCTCTTACTTGAGTCAATACTTTACAGCTAAAACTATCTTGACTTCAATGGGCTGCAAGTTTTGGATTCTTAACTCCTCTGGATTTTAAGATCAAAGTTTTTTGGAGAGATGCTTCAAATATCTTCTACTGTCTCATCAATCTTTGACTTTAGATAGACATACATCGATTTGCTCAATGACGTATGAAGATGCTGATGATGGCGGCTGGAATTCCCCTCTCGTCTTCCGGCTATGAGTCACGGCGCTTACGTAATGACATCACGAGGCCTGTGAGCGGAAAGCGGAAGAAGGGAGTAAAACAACACCAGCGGCAGTTAGGAGATCCTCGTTAGCTTCTCACAAAGTTCCGCTGGGTTGTGTGTGTTCACAGCCCAACAGGCGCATTTTAATCTGAATCACACAAAATGTCGCTGTTTGGTAAGATATTCGGCACCGGAGGAGGGAAGGGAGGAAAAGGACCGACTCCCCAGGAGGCGATCCAAAAACTCCGGGAAACGGAGGAGATGTTAGCCAAAAAACAGGAGTTTCTGGAGAAGAAGATCGACCAGGAGCTGCTGACGGCGAAGAAGAACGGCACGAAAAACAAACGAGGTGAGATAAATAAATCTCCCTGGCTGTTAAAGTCAGCGGCCGAACAGCTGCTTAGTTGGTTAGTCGGCTAGTTAGTTGATATGTTGGTTAGCTAGTTAGTTGGTCAGCTAGTTCGTTGATAGGGTAGTTATCTGACTGCGGCTAACCAACTAACCAGAAGGAGAATGGCAGCTGGTACTTCATTTTTTCAATAATGTGTCCATAAGCATAGAAGCTTCTGGAGGGTTTTAGTTTCAGCTGACATGAACCGGAACAGATAAAACTATTCATTAAAGGAGCATAAAGCATGAAAGGGCTCAAAACTGAAAGGTAAACTGTAAAAATAAAAATCATTGTCCAGTATGCTCATTCTGTTTCTGACATATAAAATTGTCTTTAATAAGATACGACCACATACTCGGCTGTCATTATTCACTTTAATCTTAGAATCTACCGTATTCTCCGGACTATAGAGCGCACCTCACTACAAGCCGTACCACAAAGTTTATCAAATGAAACTGGAAACGTAGATTTATCAGCCGCACCGGACTGCAAACCGCTGGGCTCGGTTTTCCACCCTGAATAAATCTGCTATTAAGGACGCAGTCCTGGGTCAACAACGCCGAACCGTGGATTTGTTCCCTGAGCTTATGCAGCTATCGATCTGTCCTGCGGGATCAATCGCCTTCAACTTAAAAGCTGCATCATATCAACTTCTTCATGTTGTTTCCTTGATGAGGGGTTTGAGTTGGAAAACGTTTTTGCTGCTGCTACATGTACTGGTTCAAATGAAATTCAGCGCTTTCTTCTTTCATTTCCAATTTTGACTTCCAACGATTCACTTCCTGCTAAAGAGCCCCCCCTGGTGGTGGAAGAAAAATCCACAGAAAAGCCACCTGGCTGTAAGCCACGTGGTTCCAAACGTGGGGAAAGTAGCAGCTTGTCCTCCGGAAAATACAGTATGTTATTTATTTAATTCATTCCATAAATACTTTATTTAGCCCAAAAGTAAATTAAGAATCATTTGCGTCTGTTGGTGACGGAGGGAAGGATCACCAGTAGCAGTCAGTCTCGAAACCAAACCAAAGAAGCCACTGCACTGACGGAACCAGTCAGAGTCGGGCCGGGGGGCGGGGCTAATGACCAGGTCCTTCATACCCAAATAATAAAAATAAAAAATGAAGCTCATGATAATTTAACTCAGGGTTCCCAAAAGTGGGTCCTCAAGGGCGGCATCCTGAATGTTTTGTTCCGCGGCCCGGTATTGGTCCGCGGCCCGGTATTGGTCCGCGGCCCGGTATTGTTCCGCGGCCCGGTATTGGTCCGCGCCCCGGTATTGGTCCGCGGCCCGGTATTGTTCCGCGGCCCGGTATTGGTCCGCGCCCCGGTATTGGTCCGCGGCCCGGTATTGTTCCGCGGCCCGGTATTGGTCCGCGCCCCGGTATTGGTCCGCGGCCTGGTATTGGTCCGCGCCCCGGGGGTTGGGGACCACTGGTCTATCTAGTTTACCATCTGTTGCCTAGTGACTGATGAGGACATTGGTGGACGGCTGGTGACAAGCTTTACCCAGAATACACTTGGAGACAATATGGATGATCTACTTGTAATTTTGTGTGTCATAAGGTTAAATAAAGTCATCTAACACAACATTTTGTTCAATATTTTACACCCACTGTGTCACTAAAATCAGTGGGTCTTGTAAAGTTTTTAGCAACCATGAGTCAGCAGTGACTGGGGCAGCCCATTACATAACCTGAGCCTCTGACTGCTGTCTGACATCCATAGCATGCTAACAGCTCGTATGGTGTCCTGCGACATCATCAGTTGCTAATCCGCCTCCTTTGCTTTTGCTGCCCCTGTGTTAAGGCCGACAGGTCTTAACACAGGAGCGCTGAAGCTCTATTCGATCTGCTAAAGCTTTTGTTTCAAATTCTCTGTGATTTGGGGTCAGAGTTCAAGCGTTATCAATCTGACCTTTGAGTTGCTGATCAGATGCTCACCATGTTCATTGTTTGTGATGTTTGTTACTCTCTCGGCTCTCATCGATTGTTTGGTTAATAAATTGATAGTGGTTCTCATTCAGGCTGTTTTCACTTCATCTTTGGTGGCATATTTACTTCCAAACATAAACCTGATGATCAGGATTGTTTTCTGCTTCCAACTGTGGCAGGATAGAGAAGAGTTAATGAGAAACAGACCAAACCTGTTCTGATCATATTAGGAGTGATGGGACCTGCACCAGCCTGTTGAATCTATCCATGAGACTAAAGAGGAAGAAGACTCAACATGACGTTTATGCAAACGGTCGGGTCCTGATGAGCTAAGCTTCCTTATCACGGCTGAAAACAATCTGAATCTTTTTCACTTTGCTTTGAAATAAAAGGGACTCGTTCCCGGAAAGGATCAGCAGAAAGCAGTGATCTGGACTCAGCGCCATAATCTCATAAAGAGTCGCATAATGTCGTTTCAGATCATGTCTGGATGCTGAAATAATCGGATCAAACTGGGACGTCATGCGGCTCCCAGTGGATCCACACGGACATGTAGGAGCCTAAACATAAATATCATCAGATCCATATGAACAGCAAGAAGCTGTGACTGTGTGGCGTATCTAAATCTGCTGTTTTGTTGCATCTGAGACGTGTCCTGAAGGTCAGACAAAGGTCGCAGATTGAGGTAGAAGCAGAGTTTGATTTAAACTGTTTAATAATCCATGTTTGGAGAAGGTTTTCACCAAGGATGTTTTCTACTCCCTGAAGTCATTTCACTTTGACTTCAGATCATAAAAACCAGACAACCTTGGAAGCTGAAATACTAGATAAAATTACAAAAACTATATTTGTTTTTATTTTTTAGATGTTGAACAACAATATTTCATTGAAACAAAGTGGTGTGATTTGTGTAGAAATGGAAATCGGTGAGTTTGAAATAGTTTTTCAGGTTGTAGTCTGTTTTCTGGATCAGGATGTGGCTCTCTGGCTCCATCTTTCAGCTCCCTGCTCTGCCTCTCAATAAAACTCAGATGATGTTTGGGCTCCAAATGTAATTAAAGAAAAAACGTGGCTGATAACACAGCAATGCTTTGTCATATTTTTTAATTCTAAGATTTTCTGTGTATATTTTTTAAAGCCTCACATCAGTGAAAATTGCTCTCTGACCTTTTGTTCCAAAGCTCTGGGAGAGCCTGACTTATTGAGGACCGTCTGAAATCATTCCCAGGGCTGCAAACGGCCCCCGGGCCACACTTTGGACACCCTTACAAACTATTCTGCATCTGCTTTTTGTCGAGAAATGTTTGGTCCAAAAGTATTACACACACACAGTAATGTATTTGTACAGTTTAATATCTGACCACATTTCCAATTGTTGTGGTTCCATTTTCTGAACTTTGACCCTTTCTGACTCCTGACCAAACCACAGAATCTCTAAATAACCAGAACGAATACAAAATGTTTGAGAAAATGAAACATCTTGTTTCAAATAAAAATAAAACAGTTTGGTTAACATTACCAACTCTTGACATCTTCTACCTGAAATACATCTGAGAGCCCAGACAGACGTAAAAGGGTGAATTCACTCTGTCACACGATAAAAATGACTGAATTTGGAAACAGAATGTTTTTAAGAATTAAAAGGCAAACAGCCCTTCAGCATGGTAAATAATGAAAAGCTGATAGTACGAGCCAAACGGTGTCAGTCTTTAATCCTCTGGGCTCAGACGGACAGGTGGACGATGGACAGGTGGATGATGGACAGTGAGATGAACAGGTGGACGATGGACAGGTGGACGATGGACAGTGAGATGGACAGGTGGACGATGGACAGTGAGATGGACAGGTGGACGATGGACAGTGAGATGGACAGGTGGACGATGGACAGTGAGACGGACAGGTGGACGATGGACAGTGAGACGGACAGCTGGACGATGGACAGTGAGATGGACAGGTGGACGATGGACAGTGAGACGGACAGGTGGACGATGGACAGTGAGACGGACAGGTGGACGATGGACAGTGAGATGGACAGGTGGACGATGGACAGTGAGATGGACAGGTGGACGATGGACAGTGAGATGGACAGGTGGACGATGGACAGTGAGACGGACAGGTGGATGATGGACAGGTGGACGATGGACAGTGAGATGGACAGGTGGACGATGGACAGTGAGACGGACAGGGACGATGGACAGTGAGATGGACAGGTGGACGATGGACAGTGAGATGGACAGGTGGACGATGGACAGGTGGACGATGGACAGTGAGATGGACAGGTGGACGATGGACAGTGAGACGGACAGGTGGACGATGGACAGTGAGATGGACAGGTGGACGATGGACAGTGAGACGGACAGGTGGACGATGGACAGTGAGACGGACAGGTGGACGATGGACAGTGAGATGGACAGGTGGACGATGGACAGGTGGACGATGGACAGTGAGACGGACAGGTGGACGATGGACAGTGAGACGGACAGGTGGACGATGGACAGTGAGACGGACAGGTGGACGATGGACAGTGAGATGGACAGGTGGACGATGGACAGTGAGATGGACAGGTGGACGATGGACAGGTGGACGATGGACAGTGAGATGGACAGGTGGACGATGGACAGTGAGACGGACAGGACGATGGACAGTGAGACGGACAGGTGGACGATGGACAGTGAGATGGACAGGTGGACGATGGACAGTGAGACGGACAGGTGGACGATGGACAGTGAGATGGACAGGTGGACGATGGACAGTGAGACGGAGAGGTGGACGATGGACAGTGAGATGGACAGGTGGACGATGGACAGTGAGACGGACAGGTGGATGGACAGTGAGATGGACAGGTGGACACTGCGCCGTCTGACTTCTGGAGAAAACTTTGATTTCTTCAACACCGTCTTGGTTTTAGTCAGTGACCCTTTCTTGTTTCAGAGACCCTTTCATCTCCATGGGAACCATTGGGCTCCGAAACACCTGGAGGGCCTAGCCCCGCCTTCAAAGCGCAGCTCCACCCCCACTCAGCTCCTTCAGACTAGCCAGCAGCAATTAGCAAACAGCTGCTGAGCTCCTTGCTAAAAACGTTAAAGAGCTAAAGGGGAGCCATGTTGGGACGACTTTCTTCAGGCGGAGCTTCAGAGAGAGCAGGAGCTTCTTAAAGACACAGAGACCCAATTTCAATTAGTTAAAACTAGAAGTCACGTTTCTTTAAAGTCATATTATATTTAGCATTTTTACAACTGAAAGTAACATTGTTACAAAACGGCAGTAAGGGCCTTAACATCCATGATATCGCCCTTTTAATGATTTAAAGACAGTTTAAATCAACATATTATATTATTGATTAATAAATGTTAGGTGGTTCTGCCTGCCATGTTTTTGAGGCTTAATATCCTGAAACTCACATCATTATCATGAGATTTTTGTCATTTTGCTTATTAAATATGAGAATGGTTATTTTTAAATGTTGAACTGCTTCACAATATTTGTCTGTTTTGCAGCAGTTTTGACTATCAGGCTGACTTCCTGTTTCCTGTTGCTGCCGATCTCCTGACCTAGCTGTGTTTCAGAAACACTCACTTCCCGTTTGGTTTAAATTCAAAAAGAAGAAAAGCTGATTATGCACCAGGTTAATTTATCTCAGCTGACTGACAGGACAGGTTCATGGAAGTGTAATAAATGAAGGTGATCTTTGACCCCCAGCGGCTCTCCAGGCCCTGAAGAGGAAAAAGCGCTATGAGAAGCAGCTGGCCCAGATAGATGGGACGTTGTCCACCATCGAATTCCAGCGGGAGGCGCTAGAGAACGCCAACACCAACACGGAGGTGCTGAAGAACATGGGCTTCGCTGCCAAAGCCATGAAGGCCGCACATGAAAACATGTAAGCTCTCTGTTCCGCTTCCTGTCGCTCTGGGCTTCCTTCCTTTTGGTTTTTGTATAAACGCGATTTTTCTCCCTGCCGTCTGCCAGGGACATCGACAAGGTGGATGACCTGATGGCAGACATCACGGAGCAGCAGGAGCTGGCGCAGGAGATCTCTGACGTCATCTCCAGACCGGTGGGCTTCGGGGAAGATTACGACGAGGTGAGAGCCGATCGGAACCAGAGGTCCAGTTCAGCTCTGACTTTATGTTCGCTCTTCAATACTGCTTCAGACACCGTCCGAACAGCCGATTCCTAATTTTCCACCACAAAATGGAGAGCTGCGGCAGCCATCTTTACTGCCCAATGGAGTGCAGTCCAGATTGTGGCCTGATCCCTATGTCTGTCTTCAGGATGAGCTGATGGCGGAGCTGGAGGAGCTGGAGCAGGAAGAGCTGGATAAAAACCTGCTGGAGATCGAGGGAACAGAAGACGTGTCTCTGCCCAGCGTCCCGTCCACGTCGCTTCCCTCTCAGCCAGGTGAGACTTCCTGTTCAGATTCACCTGCTGCTGCGCTGGGCGCTTAGCCCCATCCTTGACCTCTTTCTGTTTCTCCTCCAGCCAAGAAGAAGGTGGAGGAAGACGAGGACGACATGGCTGACCTAGAGGCCTGGGCGGCCAACTGAGCAGGGTTTCCCTTGGAGAGCAGCAGGGGCTGTCGGCTGCTGATGCTGCTTTGCGTCCCAGCTTCTCTTCCTCCTGAGTGACCTCTGACCTCTGCTCCCTCTGAGTGAAACAAAACATCCTCCAGGAGCCTGCGGCTAGCCTGTGTTTGTGTGGAAATGGTTTTGATGTGTGTGTGACTGTGTGTGTGTGTGCGCAGCAGCAGGACCAGGCTTGTTTCACAGCAATGTGAAGCATCAACGCATGTACAGAAAGTGGCGCAGCGGCGGCAGCCATCTTGCTGCTCTCCATGTTCCCGTCAGTCTGCTGCGCTGCAGAGATGATGAACCCGTTTCTGCTGAATGTCTTGGGAACGTCGGATCGGTACTGAACCGTGATCCACACGTTACTGAGGGAGCATTTGCTCCTGTTGCACAGCTGGAGTTTAAGTTTCCATGAAACTTTCGCTGCTTCGCTTCAGCCACACCCTCGTCTTATTTTCCTTAAGCAATTTGGAAGAAAGCATGAAAAAATTTGCTCCCTTTCAAGAGTTTAAATAATCTAAAATTTCACACACATCTCTGAAACAGATATGTTGCACCAACCAACTGCTTAAATTTTCTCTGTGCATTTAGCTGCAGTGATTTCATCAACAACCAGGAAGAACACGCAGCGTTCCGCTCTGAGCTGCTGCTCTCCTCGCTGAGGAACCTCCCTCAGATTGCTGAGGGAACCTCCTCAGATTGCTGAGGGAACCTCCTCAGATTGCTGAGGGAACCTCCTCAGATTGCTGAGGGAACCTCCTCAGATTGCTGAGGGAACTTCCTCAGATTGCTGAGGGAACCTCCTCAGATTGCTGAGGGAACTTCCTCAGATTGCTGAGGGAACCTCCTCAGATTGCTGAGGGAACCTCCTCAGATTGCTGAGGGAACTTCCTCAGATTGCTGAGGGAACCTCCTCAGATTGCTGAGGGAACTTCCTCAGATTGCTGAGGGAACCTCCTCAGATTGCTGAGGGAACCTCCTCAGATTGCTGAGGAACCTCCTCAGATTGCTGAGGGAACTTCCTCAGATTGCTGAGGGAACCTCCTCAGATTGCTGAGGTTCCTCAGATTGCTGAGGGACCTCCTCAAGCTGAGGGCCTCCTCAGATTGCTGAGGGAACTTCCTCAGATTGCTGAGGAACCTCCTCAGATTGCTGAGGGAACTTCCTCAGATTGCTGAACGGTTTGGGATTAAATGAGATTGAGGTGAACTCCTGAAGGGAGGTTTTCTGTTTCAGCTGTAAATTGATAAGTTGATATTGATCTGTTTTCTGATTGGCCTGCTGCTCTGCTGAATGAAACGTGCCTGACACCTCCTGCGCCTTGTGGTTTACGGTTTCCTAATGACTGGCTTTATGTGTAACTCTGCTCCAGCACTCAGTGATGGACCCGATGGGTTCTGGTTCTGACTCGGTCTTCCTGCTGAAATCAGCATGGAAACCAGCTTCTGCTCACTGCCGGGCTGGAGCCGCTCCTCCTGCTCGTCAGATCTAACTTTGATAAAAGCGTTGCAGCTCTCTAAGCCGCTCTTTGTATTTATAATAAGTAAAAGCTCCAACATATGCTGGGATTACTTTACCTCAGATGTCGTCATGTTCTTCCTGACTGCGCTGGTTCTGGACTTCATGTTTCACTGTTGCTACAGCACAGGTAACCTGAATAAAGTTTGGATTCAATGACTTGTAAGAATTGCTGATTCTCCAAATAAAAGAATTAGATTTTTATGCTTTTTCTCAATCGGCCATTGCTGGTCCTTTTTTCTGTTTTTTTAAAGTCATTCTGTTAATGTTCCTCCTTTATTAAATGGTTGTGACTCTTTTGTTAAGTCTTGGTGGAAGAAGTGGTTCCCAAGTTCAGTTCCGGATCGAAGATACTTTAAAAGTTTGTCTGTAGATAAATAGAACTGGTCCAAGAAACTGACCCTTGAGGGACACCCTCCACCAACAGCTTCCTTCTTTTTTTAAGCTCAAACTCTTGTTTCGCCAGTTCCTGTCATTCACTTTGATCAAACATTTGGAGAAACAATCATTAACTGCTAGAAAAAACATGTTCCTTTAAATAGTTTGAACTCAGGCTCAAAGAGTCAGAGGAACCTGAGCTGGCAGTTCTCCTACATCTGCTCCTAAATTAGCTGTAGCATAATGTTACTGCTCAGTGTCAAAGGTCACGGTCATAACGTGCGTCTTATTGGCCGCATTTCTTTTATCTTTTCTAACATTTAAACATAATTTATAAACATCTGGGTTGCAAATTCATGATGGTGTGAGAAGTAAGACGGTGGGTCAGCTTTGACCCCCTTCAGGTAGAAGTTGTATTATAAATTTGGCTGATCCAGATAATTGTGTTGTTACCAGACATTTGGATGCTTGACACACATGCACATGAAACAAAGGAGATGTTTTACGAACCAGTAAAAGACTGGGAGACCAGTCAAATTAATTCCACTTCTACAGCAGCAAAACAGAAAAACATGAACAGAAAATAAAAAATAGTTTGCTTCTGCTTCCTGGACCAGTTTTGGATGTGTAAAAACTGAAGACACCAGTGTTTGTGGAAATGGTTTTTGGTGTGTGTGTGCGTGTGTGTGTGTGCGCAGCAGCAAGACCAGGCTCGTTTCACAGCATGTGAAGCATCAACTCATGTACAGAAAGTGGCGCGGAGGCACTTTTCTGCAGCCAATATATTCACTGCTTCATTGGAGGATTTTGTAAACACTTTCTCAACTACTTGAAATATCAAGCGCATATTTAATGCCTTTTGTTGGGGAGCAACATCTTTATGAATAATTGAGATCATAAATGTTTAGGATCTCTCATACACAAAGACTATGTTCATACCTGTCCAAAGATTTTGAGTTAAATTATTATACAAATAGATTTGATAAAGCGTTGAATCGGTGGTAATAAATAGAGACTTTCTCGGTTTTGAACGTTAAACATACTCCCAGGAGAAGTGAGGAAAGCGGTGCAGGTGTTCTTTTTCTTCTAACCTTTGTGTCGAGGCTTGCCCAATAACAGAGTCCGGTCCAGACTCGCTCTAGTCTAACTACATTTTTCACAGGCAGTGAACGCCCCAGGTCACAATCCACCTGCTGATTGGCTGCCCGGCCGTGGGGTGGGAGCTGCCCCAGCCAATAGGAAACCAGAGCATCCCCGCTTCGGAGCCTCCCGACAACGGAGAGCCTTCTGAACGAAGCCGGCCGATAAAAACCGAGCCGTCATGTTTCCGTCCCTCCCTCTCCGCCTCAGTCCTCCGGCCAGGCTGCCGCTTCACACAGACTCCTCGGAACCAAACGACCCAGAACAGCCATGTCTGAAAAACTGCCCTACAAAGTGGGTAGGTGGCTGCGCTCCTTTCCGCGCCGTTTAATCGGTTTTTACCGGAGTAGCTTTGTTGGCGATGCTAACTGGTCTAACTGTCTCTTCTAACTGGTTCTGACGGGTTCAGAATCTTGAACAAACCCAATTTCTACTTTATGTTCGCATATTACACACGAGTCCGGTTTTAGTCTGAGGACTTGTGCTCTCCAGACCGAGTTCACTTGTTGGCGTTACAGATGAATGTGTGGTTGCAGTTGGACGGTATTTCACATTCTAATGTAATTTTCGGTAGTTCTTCGGTAGTTCTGTAGTTTTGATTAATCTCATGTTTACATTTGGCAGGCTGGAGTTCAGTCCTGAGAATGAATAGACATGTAATCGCGCCCAGCATGGGCTTCTCTCAGACCTGAAACGGCTCGCCAAAGGCTTCTGGGTAATGTAGTTCATCAGCGCAGCCCGTGGCTGTCCGCCCACTGCTCGCTCGGTGTTTGTAAACTCTATCTCCCATGATGCCTCGCGCTTCACTGCCAGTTTGCTCGTGAGTGACAAGAACAGGCAGAGATTACGCGTCGCTGCACCGACTGAGAGAAGCTACATAGCTGTAACAACACGTGGTCTCCACGCGCGACTGTCTCTTCATAGTTTTATTTACGATGTTCAATAGTTTTGATGTGTTTTCGGACGTGTCATCTTTATGGCTTCAGATGTGTGAAAAATTGTGAGCAAACACATTAAAGTAATAAAAGCAAATTAAAACCAGATAAGCAACAACAAAACAGCAAAGCAAGATAATTTATTTCTTTGAAAACTGTTGGATCGTTTTGTGATTGGAAGCAAACAAATGATTGATCTGATCAATAGGGTCAAAGTCCACACAAACACAGGCCTGCAGAAATCAAACTTGTAATTCGCATTCATCCCAACTGAGCCGGGTTATGAGCTGCAAGATGCCCAATTATTGTTTAAGAGGTTTCTATGCAGAAACAGACATTTTTATCAAACTTTGTCTGATTTGGGTCGGTCCTGACCTCACTCTGAAAACGTATCCTGTTGCGTCAAAACTCCCTTCTCTGCACCTTCGTTTCTCTCATTGCAGCTTCTTGGTGTTAATTAAACCCATTCTGCTATGAGCTGAAGCAGAATGACCAAACCTGAACAAAGGGCAGCAGAAAGTTCACATGCACAAATCTGGCGCCTTTCTGTGAGGTTCCTGCAGGTGGCGCCGTTCTGTGAAGTTTTCCACTGTGATTTATTCCTCCTAGCTGAGCTGAGAGTTTGCTGTATTTCTGCAGGAAAGAGAACAAATAAAAGATTTAATGGAGTGAAAAGCCTCTGAATATTGAGCCAGATGTTGTTCAAGTTTCCTAACTGTTGTCCTCCTTGGCGGCGCCGGTCGGGCCCAGCTGACATCAGCCTGGCGGAGTGGGGCCGGAAGGCCATCGCCATCGCGGAGAACGAGATGCCGGGCCTGATGAAGATGAGGGAGCTGTACGGCCAGTCCAAGCCGCTGAAGGGCGCGCGCATCGCCGGCTGCCTGCACATGACGCTGCAGACCGCCGTGCTCATCGAGACCCTGACGGCCCTCGGAGCCGAGGTGACCTTTGACCTTCTGCTGCCAGCTGAGTTAATGTTGAGCTAATGAAGGAACTTTGTTGTGTTTGTGGCGGCTGTTTGCGCTCATGCTGCAGGGGGCCAGCATATCGAGCTAATGTTGACTCAGTTGTTCTCCTCAAGGCTGCTGTGCGGTTATCACGTCTGGGTCTGTCCGACCCGCACTGGTCCCATCCTGCACAAACCAGCAGGATGGGACCAGAAATCTGCCTGGATCAGAGCAGAACTGGAATTCTGGAGAGGAAATGGGTTCAAACCTCGTCCACATTCATTCAAATCTGCCCATCGTTTCTTCAGACCTGCAGTCTTTGTGTTCTGACACCAGGAGGCAGCAGTGTGCCGCAGACTTGCAGTTAAATAATCACAAAATTTAGAATTGGTCTGTTTTTAAGCAGAATGTGAACCCAACCTGGACTGCAGGATGTTTCTAACAGGTCAGATCAGTCGGCCATGTTGGCCTGGAATCGTTCACTGGAGGCTCTGGCTTTAAGTTCATCTGGAGCGACTAACCTCGTCTGAAAAAGTCTAGAGATGATGATCTGGGAAAATGTTTGAGTGAAATAATTTACCAGTGGGCCGAGTCCTACTTCATTAATACAAAGGATTTTTTACTCCGTATGTTTTTCTGATTCATCTGAACTCGGACGTTTGTTTGGTCAGATTTAGTTTTTTGCAGTGTAGGATCAGGTGATGCACCGTAAAAGATAAATATGCAGTGAACATGATTGATTTGCCAATAAATCTGTTTCTATTGATTATTGATGGAGGCGGACATCATCTCATCAGAGTTACCTTGACCTCTGACCCCCTCCACAGGTTCAGTGGTCCAGTTGCAACATCTTTTCCACCCAGGACCACGCCGCTGCTGCCATCGCCAAAACTGGCGTTCCAGGTACCAGACGGCGCCCCCTGTGGCCGCTCGGCGTAGCACCCAGGCATGAAGTGACCTCTGATGTATTTTTAAAGTTTACGCCTGGAAGGGCGAGACGGACGAGGAGTACGTGTGGTGCATCGAGCAGACGCTGTACTTCAGAGACGGAGCGCCGCTCAACATGATCCTGGACGACGGCGGAGACCTCACCAACCTGGTGCACCAGAAATACCCCAAGCTGCTGCCGGGTGGGTTCCTGCCCCCGTCGGGCTGTGCAGCTTCGTTCCTGTAAGGCAGGGTTTCCAAGGTGTGGGGCGGGGGCCATTTGTGGCCCCTGCCTTCAGACGCAGCGAGCAGCAGTTAAATCTTCTCTTTAATTATCAGGTTTTCTTCTCTCTGTCTTTCCAGTAACTTTCACTCCTTTGCTGCTCATTAACCAGCTTTTGATCCATTTGTGAATCTTTTCTAAAGCAGTTCTGAAGAAACTGACCTAAATGCAGATTTTTGTTGCTTGGAATCTGAAACGTTTAGTTCAGTATTTTTGTCTTTGATTGCTTTTAACAAGGCAGATCTTTCATTTTGATCTAGAATATTTTCCACGCCGCTCTCCAACAGTCAAATTATTTAAAGTATTCTTAGTTTATTGTTCAGCCGTTTCGTCCTTTTGGACGTGTGATAAAGTTTGGACACCCCGCTCTAAAGCAGTTGAGCAACAGGTTCAGGGAAGTTAATGTTTATTTCTCCAACACACTGAAAAAACACAATAGTTGATTAAAGTCGAGCTCCAGGTTCTGTCTGGTTGCTCTGAAATAAAAGCAGAGCTGAAGCGTCCGAGTGAAATCCAGAGAAATGAGGCTGAAACTGAAACTGTTTCTAATTGGATTTATTTTTCTCAAAATAATCACTAGAAAATGTCAATGTTTTTGTAGGTCGGATCAGTAAACCCTGGTTCAGCTCAGTGTCTTATAGTCCAGTTTGTTCAGTTGATGGGTTTGGCTTTACCGCCACCTGCTGGTGAGGAGTGCAGCTCTGAACGGAATGATTTTTAAATTTGCCTGAAAAATAAAAATCTTTTCTCAGATTCTTCTTGGAGAAATATTTCCGTTTTCATACTTGAGCTTTGTGTTTTAACTCAAGTCTTTTTGTGCTAACATTTTATTTTCTTGACAGAGTATTAAAGTTATCATATTATGACTTTATTCTCATATTTCTCTCTATTTTTGGCCCAAAACTCGTGTAATTAGGTTGAGATATTTTATTTTTCAGATGTTTTACTCCATAAAGTTTAACTTGCACACTGTTAATGTAATGTATAAAGTTATCAGGTTTGCTAATATGAACTATTGATCAGCAAAATGTTATTTCCAGTTTGAATCAGATATTTGCATCCAGCTGAGAGAGAAATGATTTTTCTTTTTGTCTGAAGTTAAATCTGAATAAACATTTGTGGTTTCAGGTCAGACAGAATCGAACAATTATTTCTGTTTCTGGCTAAAAACCAGAAAACTAAATGAGAACATTTTTAGAGATTTTTTGTATTTTATGTTTGAGTATTTAATTTGATCAGGAAGGTCATTTTTCTCCCAGGATTGTTTTAATGTAAATATTATTTATAATTCTTAACGGCTCGGTGACTTTTAAATGTTAAAATGACTGAAGTTGGAGGATTTTTTTGTTAAATTATTGTTTCATTTCCTGGTGTTTATGGTGAAACATTTTGAAACATTTAGTTTTATTCTGGCTCATCGTGTCTCAGCTGTAGAAAACCGTTAACTTATTCATAACTGAGATCGTATAATCATGAATTTAAACTTTGTTTTTAGACTTGTATTGTTTTTATCCCCAAAACATGAGAAAACTTCCTTGAAAATGGTGAAAACCTTTGAATTTTACTGAACAAGCCCTGGAAGTTGTTGTTGTTCTTCTGTTGTTTTTTCTTCTTCTGTGGTTTCATGTCCGGCCTGTCTCCAGGTATCCGCGGCGTGTCGGAGGAACCACCACAGGAGTTCATAACCTCTACAAGATGCTGAAAAAGGAGAACTGAAGATGCCGGCCATCAACGTCAACGACTCCGTCACCAAGGTAAGCGCCCGTCTGACCGCCGCGGCCAGCCTTCCTCCTCCTCCTCATCGTCGGCACGTCTCCGCAGAGCAAGTTCGACAACCTGTACGGCTGCAGGGAGAGTCTGATCGACGGCATCAAGCGAGCCACCGACGTCATGATCGCCGGGAAGGTCGCCGTGGTAGCGGGCTTCGGCGACGTCGGCAAAGGCTGCGTCCAGGCGCTGCGGCCTTCGGCGCCCGCGTCATCGTCACGGAGATCGACCCCATCAACGCCCTGCAGGCCGCCATGGAGGGTGAGCTCGTAGCGGCCGAGGCGCCGAGCCTTGGGCCGCAGGAAGTCGACTGACACGGACTTCCTGTTTCAGGGTACGAGGTGACGACGATGGACGAAGCCTGCAAGGAGGGAAACATCTTCGTCACCACGACCGGCTGCGAGGACATCGTCGTGGGGCGGAGGTCCTGCTGCGCCGCCCGAAATATGAGCTATTAATACTGCAGCTGTCAGCAGAGGTCACTGAAACAGGAAGTGACATCATGGAACGACACCTGCGAAGCTGCAGGGGAGCAGGAAGTGACAACAGCTTTTAAAGGAATATTTGCTCTCATACATGAAGACTCTGCACATCATGTTGCAGTTCTTCACATACAGCTGTTCACATGTGCATTTAGTTCACATTTCCTGTCACTCACTGCATATTGTGACTTTAGTTTACACTTATCTACAAATATAGTTTTTTATTCTGGTGACATTTTAGAAAAGAAAGTAGAAAATAACCCTGAAAATGTGCAGTTTTGTATGTTATTGTTATTGATCTATTTAAAAGTGCATATAGTGATAACAGCCTGTTGGTTTCCCTGGCAACGAGTGATGTCATTTCCATTTCAGTCACTTTGAGAGCATGAAGGACGACGCCATCGTCTGCAACATCGGACACTTCGACTGCGAGATCGACATGAACTGGCTGAACAAGAACGCCGCGGAGCGCATCAACGTGAAGCCGCAGGTGGGCCGGCCGTTCACCTCTGACCCGCTCGGGTCCAGATTGGCTCGTTAATCAGGTTTGGGTCTGCGCCGCTGCGCTGCAGACCTGTTACTCCTGCGTTTTGCCCCTGGAGGCGTTGCAGCTCAACTCGCCGTGTTGCCGCTGCGTCAGACGGGGCGCAGACGAACCGCTGGCGGTTTGAGGCGCCGAACTCTCCAGCGCTGAGAGACTCGGACTCAAACGCCATCGACACGCCGCCGGTCGCTTCATTTCAGAAAATTAAGAGACGGATTCGGTCCGCTTCAGAGGGTTGGTGGTAGTTTGGGGACAAACTGAGGGTTGGTGGTAGTTTGGGGACAAACTGAGGGTTGGTGGTAGTTTGGGGATAAACTCTGAGGGTTGGTGGTAGTTTGGGGATAAACTCTGAGGGTTGGTGGTAGTTTGGGGACAAACTCTGAGGGTTGGTGGTAGTTTGGGGATAAACTGAGGGTTGGTGGTAGTTTGGGGATAAACTGAGGGTTGGTGGTAGTTTGGGGATAAACTCTGAGGGTTGGTGGTAGTTTGGGGACAAACTCTGAGGGTTGGTGGTAGTTTGGGGATAAACTGAGGGTTGGTGGTAGTTTGGGGATAAACTGAGGGTTGGTGGTAGTTTGGGGATAAACTCTGAGGGTTGGTGGTAGTTTGGGGACAAACTGAGGGTTGGTGGTAGTTTGGGGACAAACTGAGGGTTGGTGGTAGTTTGGGGACAAACTGAGGGTTGGTGGTAGTTTGGGGATAAACTCTGAGGGTTGGTGGTAGTTTGGGGATAAACTCTGAGGGTTGGTGGTAGTTTGGGGATAAACTCTGAGGGTTGGTGGTAGTTTGGGACAAACTCTGAGGGTTGGTGGTAGTTTGGGGATAAACTCTGAGGGTTGGTGGTAGTTTGGGGACAAACTCTGAGGGTTGGTGGTAGTTTGGGGACAAACTGAGGGTTGGTGGTAGTTTGGGGACAAACTGAGGGTTGGTGGTAGTTTGGGGATAAACTGAGGGTTGGTGGTAGTTTGGGGATAAACTCTGAGGGTTGGTGGTAGTTTGGGGACAAACTCTGAGGGTTGGTGGTAGTTTGGCGGTTGCTGTTGATATTAACTGTTATCTGATGTTTTGTGGCGATTGTGAATCTGATCCCTGACTTGTTTGGTTTCGCTGCTTGGCGCCATCAGAACTCCACAAACGGATTTTAAAAGCGAATCTTTTTGCTCCAGACTCGTCACTGAGCTTCACATGCCGACGCCGTTCTGCGTGTTTTCATACCTATTGATGCTGTCGATTTGTTTACCAAACTGAATCCTCCTCATGATCTGAGGCGGTTCTGCTCCCCAGGTGGACCGGTACCGGATGAAAAATGGCCGCCACATCATCGTGCTGGCGGAGGGCCGCCTGGTGAACCTGGGCTGCGCCATGGGACACCCGTCCTTCGTCATGAGCAACTCCTTCACCAACCAGGTGAGGAGGAGGAGGGTGAGGAGGATGAAGGCTGCATTGAGTCGGTGGTTCTGACTGCTGTCGTCCTGCAGGTTCTGGCCCAGATCGAGTTGTGGACGAACACGGCCAAGTATCCTGTGGGAGTCTACTTCCTGCCCAAGAAGGTGAGTGGCCAATCAGAAGCAGAGGAACCGGTCCGATGTTTTTATCTAGATCAGGGGTAGGCAACTCCAGGCCTGGAGAACCGGTCTCCTGCAACTCTTGGACGTCTCCCTGGTCCAGCACAGCTGATCAAATGGCTGAATCAGCTCCTCAGTCCAGTCCAGTCCAGTCCGGTTCTGCAGAGTTCTGCTGATGACATCATTATTTGACTCAGGTGTGTTGAAGTGGAGACGCATCTAAAAGTTTCAGGAGACCCTCCAGGCCTGGAGTTGCCTACCCCTGATCTGGAGCATCTAGATGACAACAGGGCAGGGGTCACAACCCCACGTTGGTCGCCTGACCTATAACCCAATTAGGGTTAAAGGTCAGAGTTCTGGCAGCGCCTGCAGCTGGACCCAGGCTGTTACCTGGACATTTTCCCTTAAAGAGAAAAGAATAACTCCTGGAATTTTTATTTAACCTTCTGTTCTGTTTAGTGGAGAACAAAAAACCTCTTATGTCAAAACATCTGTAGGCAGCGAGTCTGTGGGGGTCAAAGGTCACATCAAAGCCTAAATGTTACAGTTTGGTGCTTGTTCTGTGAGCTAAAAATGAATGAGTGGAGTTTGAGCCCAGTCGGTGGTTTGGGTCCCGGCTGAGCTTCGGTTCTGGCGGTCACAGGTCAGCTTCGCTTTCATGTCTTTATTATTTAGCATCCATCCATCGTCTGCTGCTTATCGGGTGGGGTCGCGGGGTCAGCAGCCTAAGAATGGAGGCCCAGGCTTCCCTCTCCCAGCCTCTAGGTCCAGCTCCTCCGGGGGAATCCCGAGGCGTTCCCAGGCCAGCCGGGAGACATCGTCCCTCCCTGGTCTTCCTCTCGTCCCGGTGGGACCTGAACGCCTCACAGGGAGCCTCCGTCCTGACCCTCAGCTGGATCCTCTCCATGTGGAGGAGCAGCAGCTCTAGTCTGATCCCTCCAGGATGACTGAGCTTCTCTCTCTGAGAGCCCAGCTCCCTTCGGAGGAAACGCGTTTCGCCCGCCTGTATCGGAGATCGGAGTGAAGCGATATTAACGATCTCGATGTTAATATCGGATCGGTGCCGATATTTGCAGCAGTTCTATATCTAATGTCAGTGATGTCTCCCTCAAGGTCAGATCTATCCATTGTAGCACTACGCTTTTTTCACATTACTGTAGATCTCTAGTTGAACTTTGACCCATTTGTTTACATGTTGACAGAAAGTCGTCGTGCTGATTTGATCGGTTATTGATTTTCTATCGGCCATTTAGCTGAACGGAGTCCAGATGTTTTCACAAGTTTGATCAAAACTCTGAACATGTTACCGACCCGGTTCTGCAGCCGGTTCGGGTCCAACCCGCTAACCGGTTCTGGTTCTGTGCTGCAGCTGGATGAGCAGGTGGCGGCGGCTCACCTGGACAAGCTGGGAGTGAAGCTGACCAAACTGACGGACCAACAGGCCCGGTACCTGGGCCTGCCCTCAGACGGCCCCTTCAAACCGGACCACTACCGGTACTGAGCGCCCCCCGCAGGCCGTGGCAGGCGGCGGCAGCTCGGCCCGAAGGAGCGGCGGCGCCTGGCGGTCCTCCGGGCCGCGTGGAGAAAATTCCTCGTCATTCCTGTCTGGGAGAGTCTGCACTGCAAAAACACAAAATGTGCCAACAGGTTGAGTTTAGTTTCTACAGCAAACATCTCGCTTCTCCTGAAAGAACAAAATAATTGATCAGCAGGATGCTAACTTGTTTGAACACTGAACAAGTTTCAGCTGCAGCGCCTTATTGTTTCACTGTAACATGGAAAATGTTTTCTTGTAGGTGGAAAAAACCTGCTGAATAGTCACTAACTATTGGTTTAAACAAGCTGCTGCAAAGGTTTTTATTTTGACTCATCTCAGATATTTGCACTAGAAATGGACCTGAGTTGGTAATATTCTGTGTTTGTGCAGTCTGCTGTGTTTTTCAGTGTATTTCCTTTTAGCACTAAGCTGATCTGTGTTCGAAGCTCTGGCTGGTTTTGGACGTAATTCTGCCAAATGAATCATCGAAGAAATGCTCTGCTCTGAAAATGTGATTTAATTTAATGCTCCGATCTGCCGGTTCCAGCTTGAAGCTCAAAAATGATGGAGAATAAAAGAAACTTTAAGAAGGTTTTCTAGTTTTCTTTCCTTCATTCACTGTTTTCTGATTTATGTTTCAAACATGAAGCTGCAGCAGAGTATTACTGAAATACCACAGATTAAAAAAATGACAGTGATTAAGAATAAATTCACGTGAGAATACAGTCTCCTATTACTGACTCCTGTTAGTAAATATAACATGGTCCTGCCGCCATTTTGGGACCGAAGAGAAGAACCTCATGATCACAACGGAAAATGGCCGCCAGGCCGCAGGACCGACGAAGATGAAGTTGGTTTCCGATTCGGAAATTGGCTAAAGGGCAATTCCACCGAATTTTCCCTACCTTCCGCATCTTTAATCGACTCTAGTTTAAAAACTACAACATCTAGACTGTTCAGACCTGGACTGTATTATTCTGCTGTAATAACAGGTGTTATAACACCTGTAATAACCCAAGTTATTACAGGTGTTATAACATGCTGTGCCGAGAAACGCCTGCCCTCTCGCGGGAGAGCGCATTGCTCTAAACTCGCGTATTGATGATTGAAGGTTTTCCAGTGAACATTTTCCCCAGATGGTTTGAAAGCACCATATTTTCTTTTAATATCATATAATTTTAATCTTTACATGACAGAGACCCATCATGCATTTTATATCATCTCTAACTGTCTAGTCTATTAAAGTAGGAAGGATGCATTTTCATTTCTGAGCCTGCTAATATTTGCATCTTGACTATTGTCCTGTGGATATGAAACTTATAGCAGAGTTCAGAGAACAAGAGTCATTATGTAGAAAAGGTGAAATCATCTGAACTCTTCATTTCTCCATGTGAGCAAATATTAGCAGGCTCAGAAATGAAAATGCATCCTTCCTACATTAATAAACTAGACAGTTGATAGAAAATGTTCACTGGAAAACCTTCAAATAAAACCCAACATTTCAGGCTTTACATCCTTAAGAAACTTGATAATGTTACAAATATCTTTCAAAGTTTTCTCTTTGGTCACATTTCAGTCCGTTTTCTCATCAATATGCGAGAGTTTAGAGCGATGTGCATTCCTGCGAGAGGGCAGGCGTTTCTCGGCATAACACCTGTAATAACACGTGTTATTACAGGTGTTATTACAGGTATTGTAACACCTGCTATTAGAGCAGAATAATACAGTCCAGGTCTGAACAGTAGATCAGGGGTGTCAAACTCCAGTCCTCGAGATGTCCTGCAGTTTTTCAATGTGCCACAGGTACAAAACACAGGAATGAAAAGGCTTAATTACCTCCTCCTTGTTCTCCAGAGCCTTGCTAAAGACCTAATTATTCTATTCAGGTGTGATGCAGCAGAGGCACATATAAAAGTTGCAGGATATCGGCCCTCGAGGACTGGATGTTGACACCCCTGGTCTAGATGTTGTAGTTTTTAAACTACAGCCGATTAAAGATGCGGAAGGTAGTGAAAATTTGGTGGAACTGGCCTTTAGCCAATTTCGGAATCGGAAACCAACTTCAGCTTCGTCGGTCCTGCGGCCTGGCGGCCATTTTCCGTTGTGATCATGAGGTTCTTCTCTTCGGTCCCAAAATGGCGGAGTGAGGTGTTAGCATACAGTTAGTGTCTCCCCGAGTTTGAATCCAATATTTGTGCTTCAGCCCCGTTTTAAAGCGTATTGATTTTTTGCTCTTAGCTTTTTGAAACAATTTCAGCCTTTTTGTTGTTTTCTACCGTCTGGGAGTTTTTCTGCGGAGGATTAGCATGTCGGAGCACGACGCTAACCGGGAGACGGTCTGGGAGACATGGAGCTAGTTGGAGCCTGTTGGAATTGGTTAGAGCCGATTAGAGCTAGTTAGAGCTGATTAGAGCTAGTTAGAGCTGATTAGAGCTAGTTAGAGCTAGTTAGAGCCTGTTGGAACTGGTTAGAGCCGATTAGAGCTAGTTAGAGCTAGTTAGAGCTAGTTAGAGCCTGTTGGAACTGGTTAGAGCCGATTAGAGCTAGTTAGAGCCGATTAGAGCTAGTTAGAGCCTGTTGGAACTGGTTAGAGCTGATTAGAGCTAGTTAGAGCCGATTAGAGCTAGTTAGAGCCGGTTGGAACTGGTTAGAGCCGATTAGAGCTAGTTAGAGCCTGTTGGAACTGGTTAGAGCTGATTAGAGCTAGTTAGAGCCGATTAGAGCTAGTTAGAGCCGGTTGGAACTGGTTAGAGCTGATTAGAGCTAGTTAGAGCTAGTTAGAGCCGATTAGAGCTAGTTAGAGCCGGTTGGAACTGGTTAGAGCCGATTAGAGCTAGTTAGAGCTGATTAGAGCTAGTTAGAGCCGATTAGAGCTAGTTAGAGCCGATTAGAGCCTGTTGGAACTGGTTAAAGCTGATTAGAGCTAGTTAGAGCCGATTAGAGCTAGTTAGAGCCTGTTGGAACTGGTTAGAGCTGATTAGAGCTAGTTAGAGCCGATTAGAGCTAGTTAGAGCCTGTTGGAACTGGTTAAAGCTGATAAAAGCTAGTTAGAGCCGATTAGAGCTAGTTAGAGCCGGTTGGAACTGGTTAAAGCTGATTAGAGCTAGTTAGAGTTGATTAGAGCTGATTAGAACTAGTTAGAGCCTGTTGGAACTGGTTAGAGCCGATTAGAGCTGATTAGAGCTAGTTAGAGCCGATTAGAGCTAGTTAGAGCCTGTTGGAAATGGTTAAAGCTGATTAGAGCTAGTTAGAGCCGATTAGAGCTAGTTAGAGCCTGTTGGAACTGGTTAGAGCTGATTAGAGCTAGTTAGAGCCGATTAGAGCTAGTTAGAGCCTGTTGGAACTGGTTAAAGCTGATTAGAGATAGTTAGAGCCGATTAGAGCTAGTTAGAGCCGGTTGGAACTGGTTAGAGCTAGTTAGAGCCGATTAGAGCTAGTTAGAGCCAATTAGAGCTAGTTAGAGCCGGTTGGAACTGGTTAGAGCCGATTAGAGCTGATTAGAGCTAGTTAGAGCCGATTAGAGCTAGTTAGAGCCGGTTGGAACTGGTTAGAGCCAATTTGAGCTGATTAGAGCTAGTTAGAGCCGATTAGAGCTAGTTAGAGCCGGTTGGAACTGGTTAGAGCCGATTAGAGCTGATTAGAGCTAGTTAGAGCCGATTAGAGCTAGTTAGAGCCTGTTGGAACTGGTTAGAGCCGATTAGAGCTAGTTAGAGCCGATTAGAGCTAGTTAGAGCCGGTTGGAACTGGTTAGAGCCGATTAGAGCTGATTAGAGCTAGTTAGAGCCTGTTGGAGCTGCTGAAGGGGATCAAACAGCGAGTGAGAAGAAAAACTAGAACAAATTGAATGTAAGGAGGACACAGCTAATGCTTTTCCTCATGCGACAGCAGAACAGACACCGACAATCAGACTGACATTTTGAAAAGTATCAAAAAACAAATTGAAGGTCAAACTGCCGCCATTGAGGCCAATAATAAATCAACAACAGAGCTTCTGCTGCAGCCTCAACCTGAAACTGGGAAATTCAGCGCTGAGGCTCTGCTGGAGGAACCCGAGGGACACCGGACCCGACACCGGACCCGAGACCGGACCCGAGACCGGACCGGACCCGAGACCGGACCCGAGACCGGACCGGACCCGACACCGGACCCGAGACCGGACCCGACACCGGACCCGACACCGGACCCGAGACCGGACCTGGTGGAGATCGGAAGGCCTGAGGAGAACCTTCAGGAATCTGGGATCCTCACTCGGATCGGTCCTGTCTCCATGGATACGGTCCTGTCTCCATGGATACGGTCCTGTCTCCATGGATACTGTCCTGTCTCCATGGAGATCTGTTGACAGATCGGAGCCGCCGTCGCTCCAACAACCGACCCAGAGCTTCATGTTCGGTTCGGGATGCGAACTGCAGGATGAGGCCTGGAGGAAACAGATGCTGAAGTTTGTAAGGAAAAGCAGATCAGCTTGAAGGAGGACAGGATGAAACCTGGAGGAAGGGTTCACCCTGACGACCTGCACCCTAACCCACCGCCATGTTGCTTCCCCCCACTGGTTGGTATCTGTTTAAAGGGCTAATGCGCTGTCTGTTTAAAGGGCTAATGCGCTATCTGTTTAAAGGGCTAATGCGCTGTCTGTTTAAAGGGCTAATGCGCTATCTGTTTAAAGGGCTAATGCGCTATCTGTTTAAAGGGCTAATGCGCTATCTGTTTAAAGGGCTAATGCGCTATCTGTTTAAAGGGCTAATGCGCTATCTGTTTAAAGGGCTAATGCGCTATCTGTTTAAAGGGCTAATGCGCTGTCTGTTTAAAGGGCTAATGCGCTATCTGTTTAAAGGGCTAATGCGCTATCTGTTTAAAGGGCTAATGCGCTGTCTGTTTAAAGGGCTAATGCGCTATCTGTTTAAAGGGCTAATGCGCTATCTGTTTAAAGGGCTAATGCGCTATCTGTTTAAAGGGCTAATGCGCTGTCTGTTTAAAGGGCTAATGCGCTATCTGTTTAAAGGGCTAATGCGCTATCTGTTTAAAGGGCTAATGCGCTATCTGTTTAAAGGGCTAATGCGCTATCTGTTTAAAGGGCTAATGCGCTATCTGTTTAAAGGGCTAATGCGCTATCTGTTTAAAGGGCTAATGCGCTGTCTGTTTAAAGGGCTAATGCGCTATCTGTTTAAAGGGCTAATGCGCTATCTGTTTAAAGGGCTAATGCGCTATCTGTTTAAAGGGCTAATGCGCTATCTGTTTAAAGGGCTAATGCGCTGTCTGTTTTAAAGGGCTAATGCGCTATCTGTTTAAAGGGCTAATGCGCTATCTGTTTAAAGGGCTAATGCGCTATCTGTTTAAAGGCTAATGCGCTGTCTGTTTAAAGGGCTAATGCGCTATCTGTTTAAAGGGCTAATGCGCTATCTGTTTAAAGGGCTAATGCGCTATCTGTTTAAAGGGCTAATGCGCTATCTGTTTAAAGGGCTAATGCGCTATCTGTTTAAAGGGCTAATGCGCTATCTGTTTAAAGGGCTAATGCGCTGTCTGTTTAAAGGGCTAATGCGCTATCTGTTTAAAGGGCTAATGCGCTATCTGTTTAAAGGGCTAATGCGCTATCTGTTTAAAGGGCTAATGCGCTATCTGTTTAAAGGGCTAATGCGCTATCTGTTTAAAGGGCTAATGCGCTATCTGTTTAAAGGGCTAATGCGCTGTCTGTTTAAAGGGCTAATGCGCTATCTGTTTAAAGGGCTAATGCGCTATCTGTTTAAAGGGCTAATGCGCTATCTGTTTAAAGGGCTAATGCGCTATCTGTTTAAAGGGCTAATGCGCTATCTGTTTAAAGGGCTAATGCGCTATCTGTTTAAAGGGCTAATGCGCTATCTGTTTAAAGGGCTAATGCGCTATCTGTTTAAAGGGCTAATGCGCTATCTGTTTAAAGGGCTAATGCGCTATCTGTTTAAAGGGCTAATGCGCTATCTGTTTAAAGGGCTAATGCGCTGTCTGTTTAAAGGGCTAATGCGCTATCTGTTTAAAGGGCTAATGCGCTATCTGTTTAAAGGGCTAATGCGCTATCTGTTTAAAGGGCTAATGCGCTATCTGTTTAAAGGGCTAATGCGCTATCTGTTTAAAGGGCTAATGCGCTATCTGTTTAAAGGGCTAATGCGCTATCTGTTTAAAGGGCTAATGCGCTATCTGTTTAAAGGGCTAATGCGCTATCTGTTTAAAGGGCTAATGCGCTATCTGTTTAAAGGGCTAATGCGCTGTCTGTTTAAAGGGCTAATGCGCTATCTGTTTAAAGGGCTAATGCGCTATCTGTTTAAAGGGCTAATGCGCTATCTGTTTAAAGGGCTAATGCGCTATCTGTTTAAAGGGCTAATGCGCTATCTGTTTAAAGGGCTAATGCGCTATCTGTTTAAAGGGCTAATGCGCTATCTGTTTAAAGGGCTAATGCGCTGTCTGTTTAAAGGGCTAATGCGCTATCTGTTTAAAGGGCTAATGCGCTATCTGTTTAAAGGGCTAATGCGCTATCTGTTTAAAGGGCTAATGCGCTGTCTGTTTAAAGGGCTAATGCGCTATCTGTTTAAAGGGCTAATGCGCTATCTGTTTAAAGGCTAATGCGCTATCTGTTTAAAGGGCTAATGCGCTATCTGTTTAAAGGGCTAATGCGCTGTCTGTTTAAAGGGCTAATGCGCTATCTGTTTAAAGGGCTAATGCGCTATCTGTTTAAAGGGCTAATGCGCTATCTGTTTAAAGGGCTAATGCGCTATCTGTTTAAAGGGCTAATGCGCTGTCTGTTTAAAGGGCTAATGCGCTATCTGTTTAAAGGGCTAATGCGCTATCTGTTTAAAGGGCTAATGCGCTATCTGTTTAAAGGGCTAATGCGCTATTCCTTACAGCTGTTACTGGCTCTCATCTCATTCCTGCTCAGCGTTCCTGGCAGTTCCTGTGTTTATTTCATGTTATCTTTACTTTCACTTAATACAAGAGGTTTAAAAAATATTGTTAAACGTAAGGCTAATTTTCCTTATTGCAAGGAGCAAAAGGCAAATTGTTTTTTTCTGCAGGAAACTCATTCGTTAAGTGAGGAGGCTGAACTGGTGTGATCCAATTGATTTTAGTTCTGGGTTATGATTTATAAAGGTTCTTTGTTGGATCATATCAGTGATACACAAGGCCACTGGGTAACTAATAGTGGAGATTGGTGGAAACAAGATCATTTTGGTGTGTGTATATGGACATAATAATAAAGCGATAATAGCGTATTTTTTCTGACCTAATGATAAAACAATGGAAAATAAAATATTGCACTGATCAGGTTATCTTAGGAGGAGATTTTAATGCAACTCCAGATGGATCGCTTGATCGTCTCCCCTCTAGGGGGCAGCACCACATTTATAATGATATCTTTATAAACTTGATCTCTAATAGAAATTTGACAGGCGGCTGGAGAATTAGAAATCTTAATATCAGATAATATTCCTGGTTCAATCCTTCCGGAAACGGCCAATGCTCTTGGCCAGATTACTGGTTAATCTCTCATAATCTGGTAAATAATATTTCAAACTGAAATCTCAGCGGCTCCTCTAACAGATCATTGCTCTGTTACCTTGTTTCTCTCTCTGAATGAATGTAAACCTTCAAACTTAGCTTGGAAGTTTAATAGTAATCTCCTGGATAATAAAACTTTCTATTCTGAATATTTCAGTCTCCCTTAAATAAGTGGGAGTGGCTTAAACTGAATGTCAGGACAACAGCAATAAAGAGGCAAACTTGTTCCCAAGCTGAGGAGACAGAAACAATCCCAACTTATTAGCAATATTAATTCTGTGTTCAAAATCAGTTTCCTCATCTGAAGAGCTGAATCAGCCTGATGTTCTCGAAGCTCATCTAGACGATGTTTTTCTAGATAAATCACGAGGCTTTTATTCGCTCAGGACTCGGTGGATGGAGAAATGAAATCTTCATATTTTTTCAATCTTGAAAATCAAGAGACAGAAACTGATTATTAACTGAAGGCCTGGATTTAATCCACACAGCAATTAGAAATTGTTCTAGTGATCTTTATTGTTCCAGGTATTTAATGCCAGTGTCTGTTTGATGAAATTCAGGAGTCTGTTGAAAAAATGAATCTTGATTTTAAAAACCTTTTGAATTTGAGACTCGAAGAGACGAAGCAACACAACAAACGGTAAAACTCCTGGATGAGACGCTGAATTTCTACTTTCTGTTCTGAAAACTATTACTTGAGTCCAATGTTCCCTCTAAGCTGCGCAATCGCGCTCTGCTCACATATTCTCAGCGCACAAGAAAATCTATGTAGCGCATAAAAGAAAGTCCAACGTAAAGTGGACATTGAGCTCAGACATCAGTTTTGACTATGGACCAATAAAATTTTTTTCCGTACTACTTTGTGATCGAACTCAGTGAGTGACAGGAATCCAGCCAATGATACGATACGGTTCACTTTCGCTACCTTGGTCATATGGCCGTGCAGGTGAGAATAGAGCGGTAGAGTTAAGAAACGTGAAAGCCATCAGCTTATCATGTCTAGTGGGACATCCACTCACCAAGCCACAGTAAAAAAAAAAGAAATGCACTTCTTCTAAGATCAAATGGAATCAAATCAAATGAAAGGAATGGTCTGCATTTGATACTGAAATCTTGAGTTCAGACTTTTGACTATGGATAAGCAGACATTTGTACACTGGCAAAGAGTATGAGGCCATTCTCCTCCACCCACAGATTATGGAGGCCATTAACAGTCAATATGCTGAATTCAAGAACATAAAGCAAGAAGCAGACTGACCATCAACCTGGGCTAAGTGAACAACCACTGGAGAAGTGAGAAGGGCAGACGTGAAAAAAACTGTAATTAAATATTTTACAAGAATTTATAACTGCATCACAAGCTACAGAAAACATTTCATTGTGCAAAATATGAATGTTTTAATATGAACAAACATTTATGTCTGAAAGGTGTAATGTCTCATTTCTCACCTGGCTGAAGCAGGACTCTTACTTATAGCATGCATCTCATGAACAGCAATGTTTTCTTTCCTTTATTATTTTAATTGAGCAAATCACTTAAATTAAAAGCAAACGAATGAAAATTGCTGATGTAATTTGATTTTTTTAATAAGCCATGCAACTTTCTATGATCCCAGATTTATGATACTTGTGCGTGGCCACGCCGTGTACACTGATGATGCTCACAGTGGTCCTCAGTGGCCACGCCGTGTACACTGATGATGCTCACAGTGGTCCTCAGTGGCCACGCCGTGCACACTGATGATGCTCACAGTGGTCCTCAGTGGCCACGCCGTGTACACTGATGATGCTCACAGTGGTCCTCAGTGGCCACGCCGTGTACACTGATGATGCTCACAGTGGTCCTCAGTGGCCACGCCGTGTACACTGATGATGCTCAGTGGTCCTCAGTGGCCACGCCGTGTACACTGATGATGCTCACAGTGGTCCTCAGTGGCCACGCCGTGTACACTGATGATGCTCAGTGTGTTCAGGAAGCTTGTGTGTACGCCCAGACACATGAACAATTAGAGGGAACGTTGCTGGATGAATTTCAGACAATAATGTTTCCACCATGGAACGAGGTCTGATCCACGAAACAAAGATCCTTTATCACGAGACAATTGGAGACCCGTCACTCTGTTGTGTACAGTCTTGTTTATGCCAATCGCTTGAACGATTATTAATGAGTGGCAATCAGCGTTTTTAAAGGGACAAATATCCATCATCATACGAGACTCATTCTTCATATAATTGATTATCGTAGCTTTATTGATAATGACAGTTTTATTTTATTCCTGGATTTTTTTAAGGCTTTTGACTCACTGCTTTATCATAAAAACCTTCAAATATGTTGGCTTTGGGGAGAAATGTAGTAATATAATCAGATTATTTTACAGTAATAGAAGTAGCTCAGTTTCTCTGGGAACAAGTTTCTCTATGTCATGAGGAATCAGCCCCAATTTCACCTAAATTATTGATATTAACAACTCAAACGCTTACCTTACTAATTATGAAAAATTGTAATTTGCATGGTATACAAATTTTTGATCAGGATTCAATAAGTCAATTTGCTGACGATACAAGCATTTCTCTAAGAGATAGATCTATGGTAGACGTCGCGCTAAAATCCATTCTAACGGTCGTCTCTCAATATTGATAAATGTGAACTTCTGCCCATCATTCCAGCTCAGTCAAGTCCAAAGTTGAATATCATTTAAAAAAGTACCAGTAGAAGAGAGGAGAAAACATGGCAAGATGCTGGGATGGCATGAAGACATGCTGGAGCCGCTGCTGAACTACAGATCTGACTAGTTTTGGACAAACTCTTTCATGAAGGAGCATCCAAATGAATTTATCCATTATTTCTGACAAAAACATTCAATTTATCTGGAGGAATAAAAGTCACTGTTTACGACGTTCTCATCTTATTAAAGATTTTGATAAAGGAGGAAGTAGAGCTTCAGATTCTCAGGCTCTGATTGGTTCATTTAGAGTAAATTGGCTAAAGACATATTTGTCTCGTTCCAACTCCATGTGGTTTCATATCCATGAATCTATATTTAAAAGCCTGGCTGGCCTGGATTTCTTGCTTAAATGGGCTTTTGAATTGACCAAGACTCTGATTTCAGTCTAATTTTCATAAACAAGTTTTACATTTTTGAAAAATAATATTTACCTACAATTTTACCCCACATGGATCCCTAGTGTGGAATAACAGACCAATATTAATAAATGAAAATCTATTTTTAGACCTGATCAGCATGAACAAGGTATTGTATTTGTAACTGACTTGCAGTGAAGGTGTTTTGTTAAATTGTAGAGATTTAATCTGAACTGTTCTTGTGATGAATATGTAAAAGTATGCAGAGATTATATTCCTGCAGCTCTGCTCCATGTCATCTTTACCCAAAGTGAAGATTGGAGAATAACTGATAGAAAGTGCAATAATGTAATGCATGTGACTGACTTCCAATCTAAATTATTTAAGGATTATGATAATAATATTTGTCTAGAATTGAGAAAGTATGTAAAATGGCCGGTAAAAGAGACACTTCAAAATCTCTTAGTTTTTACCCAGTGGCTGAATTTTTGCACAAAAGATTGAAATTTGATTCAACATGAATGTAAATGTCCAGAAGGTCCATTAATTATCTCTTTTCCTTTTCAACTATGGAGAGACATTAAAGTGGTTGTGTCTTAAAATTGAGGACATCCCAGAGAAAAGCATCACCCACCGATTACTATATTGACGACTTTGATCAACAAATATCTGACTATATTGTTTTCTTGCTTGTTAAATTTCATAAACCCTGCTGTAGGAGGGGAGGTTTTACTCCTGCTTTGACTTTTCCTAGTTCATTTAAAGTGTATTACACGTCATTGAAACATTTGAAATGTTTATGTAAAACATGGAAGAATCTCGACTTTCCTTTAGTTTTAAAATTTGCTCCATTTCTGTTCATTTGCCTTTTTGTTGTCTGTGTTCAGTCCAGGATTTGCTTCTCTTTCTATCCATGCTACAACATTCTTTGTACCTCATTTAATAATAATGAAAATAATAATTAATAATACAAAGACTCCGGCCACCATATGAAGAAACATGAAGCTGAAGTTGGCGTCTGATTGGACAAACGGCAAACAGAGTTTAAAAGCTAAAATGCTTAGACTCTTTAAAACCATTATTTTACATAAAATACAGAATATTTAAAGCCAATTGTGTGATTTGTGAAACTTTTAATTATAAAATACATAAATAAATATCGATAAATGAATGATAGGAAGGTCAGTATTTAAATATAAGTATTTGTAACGATACTCCAAAATAAATCATTCCTTATTTTAATCATTGTAACATTAATTATTCATATTAATTTAAATTCAGTTTCCAGGCTCACTGAAAACTACTGGATCATCTGTCCAAGCAAAATATGAAAAATAGTCGCGGTTCTGTTATAATAATGTATGAAACGAAGTAGAAAAAATGTTTCTGTTTGCCGCTGTTGTATTTTGGTTGGCACTACTTTGTACAGCAGAAGGTTACGCGCTCATGAAGGCCGAAGCTCCTCTGTGATCAGAAGTTGGTTCTCATATCCACGTTTTCTGAGATTCCCGTGGAAATAATAACAGATTCGCTGCAGAAGAACCAACAGTTTGTTTGGTTTTCGCCTCATTTCTCATTATATCTGGAATTTTTCTGGTTTTGTTCAGCAGGAGGGTCATTTTCTCTGGTTGTAGCTTTAATTTTCCTCCTGTTGGCTCTAATCTCGTTTCTATTCCTTCCATAAATTCTTCAGCAGAACCATCATGAAGTCCTTCTCGACCCGACCCACCGGTTTTATGTGTCTCCTCTTAAACTGGAGAAGCCAAACAGTATTTGTAGAAAAGCTGATGAAAACAAATACTAAAATAAAAACTATATTTGATGTTAAAAGCTTCTGAATCTGGCAGCTTCTGGCTGTGGGACGTTTAAACAGCCTCTGCAGCAGCAGCTCTGTTTCTGACTGCAGTCACCTGCTTCATGGGAACTCAGTCGTTTCTACGAAGAAAAGAAATCCTGTGATAAATCCTGTGATAAATCCTGTGATAAATCCTGTGATAAATCCTGTGATAAATCCTGTGATAAATCCTGTGATAAATCCTGTGATAAATCCTGTGATAAATCCTGTCAGCCTGAACTCCTTGGTCCCTTCAGATTTAGGAGAAGATTGATCCCTAAATCCCAAAGCAATGCAGGAAACGGGCGCAGCCTGAAAGTGTAAACCTCCTGCTGCATCCATTTCCCAAACGTCCAGGCCATTATTTAGAACTTTATCTACATTTAATATCATCCTGCGTCACTCTCCGTTTCTCTAACAGGTAATAAAGGGAGGCTTCTGGTGAGGAATGCGGCTCTGCGGCCCAGATGCTGCGCAGAGTCACGGCGGCGCGGTCAGGAACGTGTCACGTGACGTGAGCGGCGTCCCGGGAGCTGGACGTCTGGACAGCGTCCTGGGCAGCTCATTACTCCCACCCTGCGGCTCGCCCGCCTCCAGATGTGCATCTGCATCCCAGCTGGCCGCGCGGGCCGTCGGTGAGCGCAGCCCACGTCTTATCTGTCTCGCTGGGTTTGGAGTTTGGAGTGAGCCGCGTAATTATGGCAGAAAGTTAGTGAGCTGTGAATGAAGCGCCTGAAACCATCTCACAGCTATAATTCCTGTTTGATTATTTGCAGCCTGATAACCTGAAGCTGTAGTTTGCATGAGAAGTCGTCCGTTCCTGTCCGACGCAGTGAAAGCCCTGAGAGGCCGGCGCTGGCTGCAGAGCGCTGGCTGCAGAGCGCTGGCTGCAGAGCAGCATTAGTCAGTCTGAGCTCATTCATCAGTGCTGGCTGTCACATGTTGGCAGCAGCAATGACCTGCTCTGCTCTGCAGTCATTAGCTGAAATAATCAGGCAGATCCGGAGGTTCTGCATTTCGTCTCGATGTGCTGGAGCCTCAGGGGTCTGGAAACGCCGCTGGGCTTTCCAGTTTCACCTGCTTCATCTTTAAGTAATCTGATTACTCTGACATAGTTTCAGCTTTAACGTCTGAAAAGCTAAAGCCGTTGGAAATGTGAAAATAATGCATTTAATTTTTCCTTTCAATGACTGCATAAAAACTGCAGAAATATTCCTTGATATTTCAATTTTATAGCTCAGTTTTTATCATTTTTTCATAAGTTTCCTGTTAGGGTTTTTATGAGAGCCAGAGTGATTTATTTTCACAAGTGGAGCCTTACAGCTCTCACTGTAAAGATTCTCTTGAGACATATAATCACATTACATCCCTGCAACAAGCTCCGATCCCAGAGCAGAAACTGGTTCTGAAAACTTTCATAAATGCAAACAGCAGCTTTTACCAAAACCTGTAATCCAGTTGGTTTCAGGAAAACGTCTGACGGAAATACGAGCCAAACGGTTTCATTCTGAATTTTCTCACGAGATTCTGCCTGATATGGTTAGGTATTAAATAACATGAACAGAATATCTACATATAGAGAGAAAATGCAACTTGACTAAACCTCAGAAATGCTTCAATCTTCCACTTAAAATACTTTATTCAACAAACTCAGTAATGGCATAAGAACCAAGTAAAAATTAAACATTTATTCAAACCAATAAACTTCCCAAAGAAAACCAGTGAAAATGTTGCCGCCGCCGTCGTGATCAGGCCGCCACCGTCGGGCCAATGAAAAGGAACTGAAGACATGAACCAATGAAAAGGAACTGAAGACATGAACCAATGAAAAGGAACTGAAGACATGAACCAATGAAAAGGAACTGAAGACATGAACCAATGAAAAGGAACTGAAGACATGAACCAATGAAAAGGAACTGAAGACATGAACCGGTTCCCCCTCAGTTGATTCATCTGAACCTCAGTTCTCAGCTCCAGGCTGTAAATGTGGACCAAATCCTCGGTGTCTCGATGCTGCTCTTCGCCCTCACCGTGTGCTTTACCACCTAATATTCAGCCACAGGGCTTTTTCATCTTCTCCAGGAGAAAATTCTGGGTTTTGTCCTCATTTGTCTGCAGGATTTCATGCACCAAGTTGCAGTGAGGCAGCTTTAATCTGCTCATGGTTTTTTCTGTTGTGGTTGTTTCTTAAATGCATCCTTGTGTTGTTTTGTAAATCTTGAAAAGCAGTTCCTGTTTCTTCGAAGGCCCTGGCTTTTTGCTGTGGTTTAGCTAATCTTTCCCGGTATTTATGGCGTCGACTTGTGTGCGATTGATAGAAGATGCCAGGAAACGCAGCTCTTAAATCAGACATGAAAAGGAGGATTGTCCCTCCCATGACTCTTTGTTAGCCGTACCAAACTGCAGAACCGCTCCCAGATTTGATCCATTTTAAACTCAGTTATTTCTATGTTGTTGTTAACTGCGGCTAATCGGTCAGAACCTGCTGCTCGGCGTTTTGCAGAAAAAGGAGCTGCTGCCTTCAGATGGCCGCCGTGTGTCTGGATCAGGTCCAGTTTCCGCAAAGGTTCACCAGTTATCACCCACGGCTCCCAGTGGTAGATACTGGTCAGTAAAGGAACGACTGAATGAATGACGAGCTGCATGGAGCAGACGGATAAAGAACTCAATAAATCAAACCTCTCTGAACCGATACTTCAGGTTGTCTCCAGTATCATTTGCCCACAGCTTTAAAAATGTCAGCAGCAGAAAATGGAAAAGTCCAAAATTTTCAGCTCAGAACCGCAGCAGCTGCAGTAAATTGTTTCCAATCAGTCTAAGATGCGAGCATGTGAGCAGAGAGGGGGGAGAATGCTGGCCTGAAAGTTTTATGCTGTTGTTGTTAACACATGTTCCTCACAGTGGGAAATATTCACATTGAGTTAGCGCTCAGCGTGAAGCGTGCGTGAGTGGAGAACACCCAGGTGGTCTGCTTGGCTCGGCTCGGCTTGGCTCGGCTTGGCTCGGCTCGGCTCGGCTCGGCCGGCTTGGCTCGGCCCGGCTCGGCTCGGCTCGGCCCGGCTCGGCTCGGCCCGGCTTGGCTCGGCCCGGCTCGGCTCGGCTAGCAGCAGGATGACGGCTGAAGCTGCACGGTGGTGACAGAAACGTCACATGCACTTCAACCCACAGAGAAAACAGAGGGCGACGACAAGGTGGAGTTGAAGGCAACCCTTGAGTGAATGTTTTCTAAGATCGGCTCCCCGGACATGAAGTCTGGACACTGCGGCTTCACACAGATGCATTTTACTGCAGAAACAAAATTATTTATGGTTTGTTTGTAACCTCTGTTTAACGAGGAAGAAAAGAAAGAGACAGACAATCCTGTGCAGCATTGATTATAGCAGTTTATAGTATAAAAGCCTAATTTCTTCTCTAATATACTCCCTGGGAACTATTAAGGAACATTTTATGAGCAGACAACCATCTGGAGTCTTGGGGAAAGCTTAATCATGCCTTCCTGCTTCCAAATGACAAAATCAAATGCACTGCCTGGCATTTAGCTCTGCTAGATGGATCAAGAGCAGCAGGGGGCGCTGTCCGGTCACACAGTCAGTTCCTGAAAGACACACAAGAAACCCTCATAAAAGCACAGATGGGGTCAGTGTGACCTGCTCAGGGGAAAACGCTTGTTGGGTTGTCTAATGGTGATTGTTTGCCAAACCAGATACCCAGGAAAAGTTTCTGTAAGCCACAAAAGGCAATGGGGTCAAGTTTCTGTATGCAGGCAAAAGAAGGTTCAATGTCCAAACTTGTAGATTGATCTGGATGATTTATTTTCCCATTTCAGTAAACAATTACAACATTCAAACGTTCCTTTTTTTCCTGCTTCCTTTATTGCTCTGGTTGAAACCACAGGCCCCAAGCCCAGACACCTGCTGGTCCTGAACCGGGCCCCTACACTTAGTGGACCGACCCACATTACTTCCTGTCTTAATAAGAAAGTAAATAAGAAAACAAAAAAATAAATAAAATCAATATTAACCTACAAATAACTCTCCAAATAACACAAAAAACATACATTTAAGAATAAACTAACAAAAAATTAACATGGATAAAGAATAAATAGCTCCAACGGGTCCAGCTTATCCATGTGGTCTGCCTCAACCCGACTCCGATCCACCTTAAACAGACTCCGGTCCGCCTCATCCCGACTCCAATCCACCTCATCCCGACTCCAATCCACCTTAAACAGACTCCGGTCCGCCTCATCCCGACTCCCGTCCGCCTCAACCCGACTCCAATCCGCCTCAACCCGACTCCGGTCCGCCTCATCCCGACTCCGATCCGCCTTAAAACGACTCCAATCCGCCTCATTCCGACTCCGATCCGCCTCAACCCGACTCCGGTCCGCCTCAACCCGACTCCGGTCCGCCTCATCCCGACTCCGATCCGCCTCAACCCGACTCCGGTCCGCCTCATCCCGACTCCGGTCCGCCTCATCCCACCTCCGGTCCGCCTCATCCCGACTCCAGTCCGCCTCAACCCGACTCCGGTCCGCCTCATCCCGACTCCGGTCCGCCTCATCCCACCTCCGGTCCGCCTCAACCCGACTCCGGTCCGCCTCATCCCGACTCCGGTCCGCCTCATCCCGACTCTGATCCGCCTTAAAACAACTCCAATCCGCCTCATCCCGACTCCGGTCCGCCTCAACCCGACTCCGGTCCGCCTCATCCGACTCCGATCCGCCTTAAAACGACTCCAATCCGCCTCATTCCGACTCCGATCGCCTCAACCCGACTCCGGTCCGCCTCATCCCGACTCCATCCGCCTCAACTCGACTCCGGTCCGCCTCATCCCGACTCCATCCGCCTTAAAACGACTCCAATCCGCCTCATCCCGACTCCGGTCCGCCTCAACCCGACTCCGGTCCGCCTCATCCCGCCTCCGTCCGTCCGCCTCATCCCGACTTCCGTCCGCCTCATCCCGACTCCGGTCCGCCTCAACCCGACTCCGGTCCGCCTCATCCCGCCTCCGGTCCGCCTCAACCCGACTCCGGTCCGCCTCATCCCGACTCCAGTCCGCCTCAACTCGACTCCGGTCCGCCTCATCCCGACTCCGATCCGCCTTAAAACGACTCCAATCCGCCTCATCCCGACTCCGGTCCACCTCATCCCGCCTCCGGTCCGCCTCAACCCGACTCCGGTCCGCCTCATCCCGACTCCGATCCGCCTTAAAACGACTCCAATCCGCCTCATTCCGACTCCGATCCGCCTCAACCCGACTCCGGTCCGCCTCATCCCGACTCCAGTCCGCCTCAACTCGACTCCGGTCCGCCTCATCCCGACTCCAATCCGCCTTAAAACGACTCCAATCCGCCTCATCCCGACTCCGGTCCGCCTCAACCCGACTCCGGTCCGCCTCATCCCGACTCCGGTCCGCCTCATCCCACCTCCGGTCCGCCTCATCCCGACTCCAGTCCGCCTCAACCCGACTCCGGTCCGCCTCATCCCACCTCCGGTCCGCCTCATCCCGACTCCAGTCCGCCTCAACCCGACTCCGGTCCCGCCTCATCCCGACTCCGGTCCGCTCATCCCACCTCCGGTCCGCTCATCCCGACTCCGTCCGCCTCAACCCGACTCCGGTCCGCCTCATCCCG